GAAGCCAATAGAATTAAAAAAAAAAAAAAAAAAAAAAAAAAAAAAAAAAAAAAAAAAAAAACGCAAGGCAAAAGAGATACACGCCCGAGACGCCGGCAGCTAAGTTACACAACTTGCCTTGGCAGAAGATTTAATCCAACTCCCAAGAGTTGGCTTCGGATACCGACTGTTTCCTGGCACAGTCAGGTGCAAGTGGAAGATCAAAGTCGTCCACAGCCTCCTGAGGGTCTGTCATTTGATACTCATACTTGGGTTTCAACTCCCCCACAGCCGATGTCAAAGCTGGGCCCAGTACGATTCGAGCTGCTATGTGGATGAGGACAATAAACAATTGGATCGGAGGGATAAGGACCACCGTGCATGTCTTCTGAATCAAGGAGGCCGCGTTTTCCTTGTCCGAGGGGCCGGTAAGGGCTAAAGCGGACTGAGGTGGCATGGGGGAAAGTTCTCGTTCCCGGGACGCCTTGGATCGACGACGGAATTCTATGCTCATACTGCTGAGGTTGGGGTTGGAGTCCGTGGTCTTGGATGTACCAGCATAGCTTGCAATGGACATTTGGTCATCCGGCAGTGCACCAGGCACTCGTCGAAATTCTTCCTCTGAGAAGGAAGTCCTGGGGGAAGCCGGGGGCCTAGGTGAACAGCAATCTTCGCACTTCACTTCTGGTACAGTGCGCCCTGCAAAATCAACCTTCTCGAATTTTGGATTCTCCAAGTCACTCTGGTTGTTACTGCCTTCACGCAGACTGAGATCGGAGCCTTCAGTTGACGTGGTCGATGGGAAAATGGAGCCCGAATTTGATTCAGTTGGCGACGACGATAAGGGAGCGATGGAGTGGAATGAGTCAATACTAGAAGATAATGACATTTCAGGTTCCACGGGTAGTTCAGGCGTGTCTTCAAACCTTGCCAGCAAGGTCTGGAAGCTCTGTTGAGTTTCGGACACGGAGCGTCGTGGTAAATCTGTGATTTCGGGAGTATTGTCGGGCAGTGAAGGTTCATTATCGTCAGGAATAGTTTCGAGGACTGTGCTACCTTTCGTTGTGAAGCAGCTATCGTCCGTCAGATTGCCATCGGTATCTTCGCCAGCGCTCAGAAAATCAGTCAGAGCTTCTTCGCGGGCCGGACTCTTATCAAGTACGCAGGCTGGAAGAATAGGCGCGCTGTCCCTTCGTCCTTTCGGACGCCATGCTCTTTTGCGCCGCCGAATCCTGGCCTCCTCCGGTATCTCGACTGTAAACCCCCTTTTAAACGGACAGGGAGTGACTTCATAGCGGAGGACCTGCGGCAAGGCCTCTTTCATTGCCGCCACAGACTTCCTATCCTCTTCCGTTTCATTAGGAAGCTCGATACGATAATAGGTGAGAGGGCGAATGCGCAGAACAAATGTTGATTCTCCGTCCACACACCAACACTGGGAATTCTTGAGGATTGCATGAACGACACTGCCGCACTTGAGAAACACGGTCAAGCCGTGAACCTTCTCAAGCCGAAGGGGCGCGAATGCCACAGTCCGTTCTGTAGGGGATCTCCACGGAAGTGTTTCGACAGTATCCACCGGGTAATCGAAATCCGCTGGCGCGGTGCTCGACGGGATGGGCGCAAGTGCTCTTGGGGCGAAATGGACTACTTTGGCTGCGGGATGGTAGAAAAGATCATTCTCCGAAGGCCGCAGCGATTCCACACTGCGTTTGGAACGTGGATTTAATTTTGAAGGGAGAGTAGCAGACCGACGGATCTGAGGAAGCGGCGTATCCGAGGTATCGGTCATATTTCATGAGGACAAGTGAAAAGGAAGGGCGGATAACAATACAGGTTACATTGAATAGACTAATCCGATTATAAGATAATGCAGGTGTGATATGAAAAGCGAGAAAGAAAGACCGCAGTTAGTTGAGAATGAGTGTCGATAAGAGGGAGAGAATGTAGAGAATGAACGACCATTTCTGGTCCAACGTGATACGGGGGATAAAGTTCATCTGATTTGCCTCGCAACAAAAACCGCGGGGGAATCAGGAACCAGATCGTAGCCTCAGGCATAAGCTCACATGCCCCGGTGGGTCCTGCAAGCGCCTGCGGTTAGTTGGCGGCTGCTTGGCCAATCCCCTTGCGCTGCCATACAGCTCTTATGCGGTTGCCTGCGCTCTTTCTGCAGGTCCAGCAGATCCACAAAACGAAGAATACACGTTGGCGATCTGATCTCTCTCCTTCACTGAAAGGATTTCGAACTACGAGGAACGCTCAAAATGCCCAATTTTGAGCCCAATGCCGTTATTCGCGGTGCTCAGCTCACGATTGTTGGAAGTGAGTTTCCCCTATACCACCATTGAGTCCGGTACTTCCGGATAGCCCTTTGCATCTTGAAGGGGATACCTTGGATTATCGGTCTGGATTCCGATCTCCAGATCATCGGGCCACAAACGCCAATCGACCATGGTTATCAAACGATGATTCCATGGCCCTCAACAATCGATAAGGCCATGGATGGAGATCCTCTTGGCATCTTAACTAGTGGATGTGTGGCTGACCAAATGGGCAACAGCTGTGCGAGCACTGCGGAACCCAGAACTTTTCAAGCATGAGCACTTCCGGCAAGCGGCTTTTGCGGTAGCTGTAGGAGTCGCCATTGAATTAATTATTCAGATCCCCGTATGTCCCTAGACCCGCAATGGGAAATGATCTACAGCACTGACGGCCCCCTTTAGATCATCGGGGTCAAGTTTCTACTATGGATCCTATCTTGGATGGCCGACTTAGAGAGCGCGACTTGGGACGATGCTCTTCTTGAAAGTCTTAATTTCCTGAGCAAGTCAGTCCTTCAAGTTCCCTTCCTGGTGATGACACTCATGCGATACATCACCCCAACTCTCGATGAAATGTAAGTCTCTCGTTGTTTCGTACCATGGAGTTCATGTACTGACTAGATAGCTTTATGGAATCGATAAAATGGGTCGACTCAACTTATGTTGACAAACATAAGACGGATGATCCCAAGACTTTACGGGCCATGTACTACCCAAGCCTGGTGATGTACTCTACCAAGGGGAGTGTTGGTGTGTCCAAGCCAAAAGGTGAATCGGCTCTCGTATTCGTCCGTCGCTATGGGCGCAAGGTCGGGATGATGCTTGGTATCTTTTTGCTGTCGCTTCTTCCAATCGTTGGGCGATTTGTGATGCCTGTGGCTTCGTTCTTTTCTTTCCAAAAGATGGTGGGCCCAGCCCCTGCCGCTGCTATCTTCGGGACCGGCCTCGTGCTCCCCAAGCGCTACCTGGTTACCTTCCTCCACAGCTACTACGCTTCCCGCAGTTTGATGCGTGAACTCGTGAGTACTCATGAATACTGCCAACCCTGCAAGGCCATGTATGACATCTAACCATTCAAATAGCTGGAGCCATACTTCTGCCGCATCCGATATACTCACGAACAGAAGCGCCGCTGGTTTGCGGATCGGGAAGGTGTTCTATTTGGTTTTGCCTTTGCCTTCACTGTTGTGCTGAAGACACCGTTTATCGGAGTTCTCATGTACGGTATTGCGCAAGCATCCACGGCCTATCTGGTTACCAAGATCACCGATCCTCCACCGGTGCCCGCGGAGAGTGAAGGCTTTGCTGAAAGCCAGGTGACCTGGAAGAATAAGCATGATTTCCTGCAGCTGTCCCTGGAGAACATTGATAAGATCAACCTTGCTGCGCAGAGTAAGAAGGACGGTGGCAGGGCTGATGAACCGGATGCGCTTCGGCGGAAGTTCGCCTAGACTAGGGTGTTCATACAGGATCCGTAGATGTTGTGTTCATTGCATGTGGTCCTCGATATAGGAGAGCCGATGCCGAGGAGATAAGAGAAGCCGAAGATCTGGTTGGCTGGTTTTCTCCACGTCACCACTGATGCTTAACTTGGAGACGGGGCGGAACCGATTCCGGCCTCTCCAATGAGATAGAAATATAGAACGCATTGCATGGATTCCTGCCGGCCAGGCCCGCTGATAAGCGCGATAAGTCGATCGTTTTCGTAATCTCCAACTGCGGGGTTGGTCAAACAATGAATAAGGCGAAAGATAATCAATCAGTTGTTTGGCGCTTGAGGGGAAAGAGTTACATTCGCCTCCTCATGCGGAGTTGCAGTCTGAGCCCTCTTAAAGGCGCCGTGGTCCCCGTCACAGTTTCTCGTCGTGGATACATCCATAAGCAAATATCAATCGCAAGCAGATATCAGTATCAATATGGGACACAAGGGCATTCGCACAGCTCTCAAGGTCGATCTAGACAAGCCAGCTTGGGAACAGCCTGGGTTACATGTATGTCCTTATGCCCTAGTCTAGTCTATCCCCTGTCAGTGCTAATCAACGCTCTAGAACCGCTGGCACCCAGATGGTATATAGACTCTTTCTATACCTCCTGATCAACACCTGTAGCATCTTTTCTAACCATATATCTTATTATCAGTTCCATTCTGTGGTAAAATCGCCAACAATGAAGTGGTCAAGATTGAATGTCTGGACTGGACCGGAGGACAGATCAAGAACAACGACTCGGCTGACGACATCAAGAATGTCGACCTGACGCAGATTCACTACCTATCGGGCCCATTCGAGATTGAGACTGCCGAACCCGGGGATGTCCTTCTGGTAGAGATCCAAGATGTTCAGCCTTTCCAAGACCAGCCCTGGGGATTTTCTGGGGTGTTTCACAAGCACAATGGAGGAGGCTTTTTGGACGAGATTTATCCTGAATCGTATGGAAGAACCCCCTACGAGAGATATCACCCTTCTTGCGCAGACGACTAGAAAAACTAACCTGTATTTGTATAGAGCAAAGGCGATCTGGGATTTCGAAGGCATCTTTTGCTCCTCTCGTCATATCCCCCATGTACGCTTCGCAGGCCTCATTCATCCCGGTATGCTGGGATGTGCACCCTCCGCAGAGGTTCTCGCAGAGTGGAATCGCCGTGAAGGCGAGTTGATCGCAGCCAATACAACTAGTCGCGATGTTGCGAAGCCACCTGAGCCCAAGTGTGCACATGCTGGGAGCGCGGAAGGGAGCCTCAAGGAAAGAATTGCAAAAGAAGGAGCTCGGACTATCCCTGTATGTCCCAGTCCAACAGAGCCATCATTTTGAGCTAACAAAAGCAGGGTCGCCCCGAAAATGGAGGGAACTGTGACATCAAGAACCTCTCCCGAGGCTCGAAAGTGTACCTTCCAGTCCACGTCCCAGGAGCTAAATTCTCCGTAGGAGACCTGCACTTCTCTCAAGGTGATGGGGAAGTCTCTTTCTGCGGTGCCATTGAAATGGCAGGTGTGATTACTCTGAAGTTCACCGTGATGAAGGGCGGCATGGCCAAGTTAGGCATGAAGTCGCCGATTTTCCATCCAGGCCCGGTTGAGCCCCAATTTGGCCCTGGTCGGTATCTCACCTTCGAGGGATTCTCAGTCGATGAGAACGGGAAACAACACTGCCTCGATGCTACTGTTGCTTACCGACAGACGTGTCTCCGCGTGATCGAGTACCTTCGTCGGTATGGCTACAACGACTACCAGATTTATTTACTACTCAGTTGTGCCCCGGTTCAAGGCCATATTGCCGGCATAGTGGATATTCCAAACGCCTGCACCACCATGGGGGTGCCGATGGATATCTTCGATTTTGATATTAGACCTGAGGCGGAGGTTGTTAAATTGGATATGGGCAGCTGTGCATTTGCTAGCAACTAATTCAGTTACGGATTGACTGTGTTGTGGCAAGTACGAAAGACCAATGAACGATTCAGATTGAATTTCCCCTTTCCTTTTATTTCTTGAGTGATTAGCAATAGGATCATTCCCAAAGGGATTCTTGTGAAACAACAGGAGGTAGAAGCCTGGTAGCCACATTGGATGGAGCTCAAGTCAGGTTGAAAACCTGTCTCTAGGAGTAGGATCGATTTATCTTATCACAATATACCCTTATGAACATGCCAGATTTCAACTTCAGCACACTATATACATAATAATCCTTAAGTAGTAGCAGCTATTCACTGGTACTATTCGTTATTCTTCTGTTAAGTCCTTAATAAACGTTAGTAAATTAGGGAGGGCAAATCTAGGAGCACTTCAAGTTCTCTCCCACTAGTAATATGAGAAACATTCACCAAGAGAACCTTGAGTATAAGCGCGCCAGCAAACCAACAGAAGACACATCCCTGCCGAACAATCGACGAGATCTCTATGAGTGTGGAGAGCCCTCTTTGGTATCTCAGCATTAAGCATTATTTCTATGTATACTGTGCGCCAATAACGGTTCATTGGGAGGGCTCCTTCTGACATTCATCCTCAACGGCATCTGCACCCGGGAGAGGGTTCCATTGCATAATATCCCACTCAGGATCTTGCTTGGGACGTCATATTCATTTGCCGACCATTCGAAATCCTAGGCTCTTGCAGAGAGGTAGTCCCACAGGGTGTTGCGGATAATAAACAGGAAGGTTCTTTTTCTCTGTTCTTTCCATGCCCTATTACATTAGACAGCTTGCAGCCCCCTAGCGTTGAAATCTGGGGTCTACTCCCAGATCTAAGATTCCATAGTACTTGCGTGGTCCTTGATATCCTTCTTCGAGCCGGCAGGAATCGGGATCGCTACATAATCGGACAGTCTTATAACGTCCGGGCGATACCGCGACCATTGCAGCAACCAGAACTCAGACTCTGGATCAGATACAGATAGCTCTGATGATGGAGATGAAGAAGATGTTGACACTCGGAGCGGGGAGCTTCGCAAGTCAGGTCATTGGATAGACTACCTCTCGAACTTCAGGTCTTCCTACCGTTCCTCATCCTGCGAAAGGATATCAAAGTTCAGCTATGCTTTCTGGTCTGTGCATTATGCTTGATTACCGATCTTGTGTTAAATGTGGTGGTGTCCACGCAGCTGGGTAGCATCGTGAACAAGCTCTTCACACAAGAGCTTACTCTTTCAGACCTTGGGATATACTTTGCTTTAAACATCCTTCACGGGCAGTCAGGGTTGGAGATGCTCATGTCACTGGCTAAGATTTCCATCCAGCAGTTCTCTTACAGACAGCTCACCAACGCCACCTTCAGCCACGTCATGGACCTCTCGATGGAATTTCACTCTGAGCGAGACTCCGCCGAGGCCATGAAGTCCATCGAACAAGGGGCCGCGCTCACGAATGTTATGGAAGCCGGCTTCCTAGAGATATCTCCAGCGGTGATGGACCTGTTCGTTGCATTTGTCCTTCTTTACATCAAATTCAACTTACTCGCGGCATTGTGCATGCTTATTGCAACGCTGACATTTCTGTCACTGGAAGTCGCTGCATCCCGCTCGAATGTCGACAATCGCCGGCAGCTGACGAAGGCTGAAGGAGGCGAGGCGCGTGTGATGCATCAAGCTATTCAGGGATGGCTGACGGTTTCATCATTCAACATGTTCGCATACGAGAAACGCCGCTTTGCAGAAGCAGTCGACAACCACCTCACCGCAAAGCGAAAGTGGTCCTGTCGAGATGTATACTCGACTGGCTTAATGGAGGCATGCTTTCCTGCCTCTTTCGTAGTCCTTGCATGCGTCGTCGCCCATGAGATTAGTTAAGGCCGGGCGTCGCCAGGAGACTTTGTGTTTCTGATCCAGTACTGGGACTATCTCATTTGGCCGATCAAGTATTTGACCAAGGATTACAGGTGGTTGATCGGAGACCTGATCGATGCTGAACGGCTGCTCGACCTGCTTATCACCAAGCCAGCGGTGTCTGACAAGTGCGAGGCATTCGATCTTGGTCCAGTCCAGGGATATGTTGAATTTGAGAACGTGTGTTTCGCATACAACACCAAGGAACCGGCTGTCCGTGACATCAGTATCTCTGCAGCGCCTGGGGCCATTATAGCCTTAGTTGGCACCACCAGAGCTGGAAAGTCTTCGCTGGTGAAGCTCCTACTTCGCCATTACGACGTAACGTCCGGGAGCATCAAAATCGACGGCCTAGATATTCGCGACGTAACAGAAAGTTCTCTGCGGGATGCTCTGGGCATCGTACCGCAAAATCCTATCCTTTTCAACGCGTCGACAATGGATAATCTTCGATACGCCAATTTGGATGCCTCCGATGAAGAGGTCTATCGAGCATGTCAAGCAGCTGCCATCCATGACAAGATTCTCACTTTTCCACAGGGCTACCAGACCAAAGTTGGGGAGCAGGGTGTCGAATTATCTGACGGCTAGGTCTAGCGCCTAGCGATTGCGCGAGCTATTCTGAAGAATCCACCTATTCTCATACTGGACGAGGCAACCAGTGCTGTCGATACTGAAACAGAGGCCAAAATACAAGAAGCGCTCAGATATCTCATCAAGGACCGGACTACTTTCGTTATCGCACATCGGCTTTCAACGGTGGTCAAGGCAGATGGCATCATTGTGCTGGAAAACGGTAGCATTGCTGAAAGTGGGACCCATTGGGAATTGCTTGAAAAGCAAGGTCGATACTACAGCCTCTGGCATACACAGCTGCATTAAAATGAGGATCCTATGTTGTTGGATATAGAGTCTACTGACTGAATTGAGTTCATGGTGGCTATACTCTGCAGAGACCGTGCTAGGCAAACCCCAGAGACTACTAAGATTGCCCTAACCCAGTCGTATCTAAGAAGACTTCCAGCGGGCTCTCGAAGCCCGAGCAAAGGCAGTTGCATGGTTTGAGAAATCCATCCTGTTCTCCACGAATGACTCCTGCTCGGAGTCCCTCCTGGTCTATGATATTGGGCCCGGCGGGTTCCCCTCCTACCGGGAGGATGCTGGTCGTCAAACGGGGGTGTGACTTTGTGCTCTTTAACATGGTTGAGAAGCTGGCTGATGTGGGTTTGCTGAAGAGTGTTAAGACTGGGACAACATTGTTTTGAAATGACTGGTGTGCAGCAGTTTATCGTTATTGGCTGCAACTTGCATTCCTCTTGTTTCTTCTTTCATCTTGTGAGATGGGATTGACACCTATCATATTCCTACAGTAGCTTTGTATCCAGTCTTATGTTCAATATCTAACAAGTGAGAGTAAAAGGCTCGCCGGTAGATGCAGGAGTGCTGTACGTTTATGTGATAGATACATGTCATTGTGCTAGAACAAGCTATCAAATAGCTTCGTACAGACGGCGCCTAAAGCCGGCTCTTGTCACCAATCTTAGTCCACTCATTCTCTCCGATCTTCTGGAAATCCATCACTTTATTCGGACCCCCAAATCTATTTTGCGTATCCTTCCAGTCTCGTTGGGCGGCAATCTCAGGTCTCCACCGCAGTACATGCTTCAGTTCCTTCTGCAGGTTTCCCTCCAGGGCATCCGCTATGAACCCGCCGATGGTAGGCATTTGCATGGCCCCATTGCCCGACCCACCGACGGCAAGCAGCAACGAGCGGTACTCAGGATGCCTGTCAATCAAGAAGGCGCGATCCACGGTATCAGCATCCCAGCATATACGAGCAAAGGCCAGTGGGCGATCGGCAAGATGAGGCATCGTGTCACGGAGGAAGTCCCTTGCACGGGCCTCAGCCTCGAGAGGGATCTGATGCTTCGCAAACGGGATACTGCGCACCTCGCCGCCGCGCTTCGGGTCCGGGACGAAGTTGCAATATCCAGGATGCTCGTCGCAGATCTTCAGTTCGTGGTTGTCCTCATCGGGTTCCATGAAGAACCCCTTTGCGACGTTGAACAGCACGGGGAGGTTCTGGTACTTCTTGGCCTCCTCGGGCGTCATTTTGATATGGCAGAGTGTCCAGGCGGTGGGACGGAGCTGTTTCTTAAAGTCCAGGAGACGGTCACTGCCAGCCCCTGCGGATAGGATGGTATGGTCTGCGCGGTGGACGGCGCCGTCGGCTGTTCTGGCCCCGACCACATCCCCGTTCTCGTAAACTAGAGACACGACGTCTCCTTCCGGGGAACCGGTGGTGAAAGTGACTCCTAGACGCTTCGCTTCGGTGTATGCGGAGAACATGGCCTTCTTGGCGTGGATCCATCCGGCGCCGGTCTTGTTCAGCCAGCCCTTCCAGCCGGGGAAGTTGCCGGTGAGGATTCCCGGCGGCATGGTCTTGCGGAAATCCTCTGCGGTGTCCAGCTTTACGAACTCTGCGTCTGACGAGTCGATCTCATGCTCTTGTATATGTTTAATCAGAGCTGGAGTGTGGCCGGAGACAATTGCCCCCGTTTCATGAAAGTATGGCTGGAACACGGGATCGGTCTTCCAGCCTTTCAGAGCAGCTCTTGTGCATGTTGAGAATGCGATACCCCAGGGATCAGTTTCCGATGCTATTGGGTTTCTCGTTGGGTGAGCGAGCAGTCGGTTTGATCTAGGTCATGGGTTATACATACCTCTGACCTCTCTGTGCTCCATGATTTTGTTAATGTCATTGCCGGCTGCAATTGGGGAAGGGACCGGGTGTGGATCTAGGACCGTGACATTCTTGTAGCCTCGACGGGCAAGATGTAAAGCAGTAGAGCATCCCCAGGTCCCTGCACCGACGATTAAGATAGATGATGTGGGAGTCAAGTTAGAGGGTGTCATTGTTGTATTATTGGTGTCGTTAAGTGTAAGGTATGACCAGGAGGACAATTGCTAGAAAAGCTGTATACAGAACCGCAGTAGAACTCCCTCCGAGAATTTATACAGGTAGGTCACGCCATCAACAAGTAAAAGCCAGCTGGCTCTCCCAAAAGTTGCAACAGGCTAGCCTGGGCCACGTACTGGAGCAAAAACCGGCAAGGTGGCCTTATCAACCCCAGCATGGGATATATTGAAGGGACTTGAAAACAAGCAGCATGATGCATGGATGAGTTGAAGTGGTTATGGCAACGCATCATCTGATTGGACCGGCCATCACCTGATTAGGGTTAGGTTGAGAAGTTCCGCTTGGACCTTCCTCCCCTTAAGCTATCGTATCTTCTCCGCATTTTCTATCAACCTTATACATCTGCCAGATCCATCCTCACGATGGAGCAGAGACAACCCTTGCTCAACCGGGTCAATACCCGCATGATTGTCCCCGCGTTTTATCGCTCGTGGCAACTGTAGATATTATTCCATCCAATTGTGGACCGCAGGGCTCTCTCCACACCAGGTCGCTTCCAGTATCAAATTCCCGTTGCATCATGACCAGTCGTTTGGAGCTTCCTTCATGTCGATCCCCCCTCCTGTTGGGTGGGTCGCATGCTTATCGCTCTATATTATGTCCATGTATTTGTCTGTATGTGGAATCGTAGACCTCGGAACATATCGCATGGAGAGGAACATGGCGTATATCGAGCCGGATAATCTGTTACATCCCCCAGGCCTATCGTAAGTAGCCGGTAAAGCTTCATTAGATAGCTCGGCAAGCTCGTCCAATGGTGAGAGCTCTGGGATACGATGGACGGGATGATACTTGTTCTTCCCCTCAGAGGAGGTCTGCGACTTCGCCGCCGGCATTGTATTTAAGAAGCCATGCGTCTCCAGGATGGACGTCTGTCCGTAGCTATTAAACGAACTGTAAACTCAACATGGCCCCTACTGACGACATCCTGACTGATGTCCCAGGAACCGTTTACTTGGTTGACAGTACGTGTACATCTACTTCGGATGGTTCTATATAGATTGGCATTAACCATTCATGTAGCATCCGGGAACCTGGCCGATGCTGCTCACGCGAATGATATTCTCCTGCTCCCCCAGCCATCATGTTCCGCAGCTGATCCTCTAGTAAGCATGTGTGCCCTTTATCTAGTCCACTCGTCACTAACATCTGGCACAGAACTGGCCGAAGTACAAAAAGTACTGGACCCTGTGTCTCATCTCAGCCTATGCATGCGTGAACTCCTTTGGCGAGAACAACTGGGGTGCATCATGGACCACTATCTCCGATGAGACCGGCGTCAGCCTCGAGAACATGAACGGCGGCTCCGCCCTCAACTATCTCATGCTTGGCTTCTTCAATATCATCTGGATTCCGACGGCGATGAAATTCGGGCGAAAGATCGTCTACATCTTGAGTTTGATATTTGTCGGCGCGAGTGGTATCTGGGGTGCGTTTTACGTTGGGACGGGTCAATATTATGTTATGACGACGATTAGTGGAATGGGCACTGCTGCGTACCAAGCCCTGATTCAGCTTACGGTAAGCCTCACTACTCGATCTATATTCGGTGCGCTGCTAAGTGATGGAAGATCTTCGATACGTTCTTTGCCCACGAACGAGGCCGAATGATCGCGATTTACATCTTCTTCCAGCAGCTGGGGTCCATCCTCGGACTTATCTTGGGCGGATACATATCCGATGGTATCGGATGGAGATGGAGTATGCCCATTGTTGCAATTGCCTGTGTGAGTACAGCACCTCACCTTGTCACTAGATTAATCACTCATAGTGTCTAGGGAGTCCTAATCTTGTTATTCATATTTACCTTCGACGACACCATGTTCCCGCGGTACCGCTTCTCAGAAAGAACACCATCGGAAACCCTGAAAGGCGAACAGAGCTATGAAGCTCCACCTGAAATACAATCTGAGAAGCCTCAGAAAGAGGAGCCCCATATGTCAGTGACCCCAAGCAATGGCGCGGGCGAGGTAGACATGCCGCCACGGACATATTTCCAGAAAATCGCTCTGGTGCACTACTTCAAGGACGACCAGACGACATGGTTCCAGTATTTCCGACGACCGTTCTATCTCTTCGCGTTTCCCAATATCGTCCTAGCTGGTATTCAATTCGCGTTCGGATGCACCGCGGGAATCGTCTCCTTCAACACCATCTCAGAGATCATGACAGAAGCGCCGTACAACTGGAGCAACGGCTCAACCGGCCTATTGTTCCTCTCCGCTCTGATCGGCAGTTTCTTCGGGTGAGTCATAAACACCTGGTCTTCTTCTCTGTGTGCCTGTCTTGTTGTAGACAAAGCTTATATGAATCAGGATGGGCGTCGGATCCCTATCAGATTGGCTCGTCCTCGTCCTAGCCCGTCGCAACAAGGGCTACAAAGAGCCCGAAATGCGACTCTGGGCATACGTATTTCCGCTAATATTTGCCGCCCTTGGGTACTTCATCTACGGCTGGGGTGCCACGGCAGGAGCGCATTGGATGACCATCGCCGTTGGTTTGTGTTGCATGATCGCTCAACAAGTCTCAGCAACTAGTATCGCGACAGCTTACGCCATGGAATGCTTTGACAAGGTATGGCTTACCGAATCTCTTTGCAGAGTCCTTCCGGCCTTCATCAACTAATCATGCGCCTAGATCTCCGGTGAACTGGTGATCGTACTCGCCATATGCTCTTCTGTCATCAATTTCGCCATCTCGTTCACTGTGCAGCATTTCATTAACGCCACCAACTATGGCTGGGCTTTCACTTTTTATGGTATATGTGTGGTCCTTTCTATGGCGATGGGTGTACCGATGCTTATCTGGGGCAAAAGCTGGCGCCGACGGGGCAAGGGGCGTTATGAGAAGTTTCTGGCAGAGACGGGTCGTCAATCTTGATAACTAACGTGCCAGAGTACATGAGTTGTTTCGTATCATGCTGCTTCTCGTTTGGTTTGATTTATTGAAGGTTTTTAAGGGTATGTGAAGGCTATTGCACATCCACCAGTGCCTGGAAGATACCAGATAATCGTACTTTCCATTGATCATTATTTTATTGCTCCGTTGCTAGATTTCAAGAGTTTCCTAGTTTATGTTAAGTCTTGGATATGACCCGCTAAGTGAACGACATCCGCAGATCAAAACGTAGGAAATAGCCAGTCAATGCGCCGATTTCACCATGCTACCGAATGCCAAAGACATGGTCTTTAGGAATGAGGCTACGAAAGCCGGAAAGATTTGCAAATGACGATAGAAGGGGAAACGAATACAGGAGCGGTGCGACTGTCTAGAGACGCAATTGAGACGTCGCTTTTATGCAGAAGGAAAATAGGGTGGTTTGTAGTAGAAACATTCATGAATCATCCATGGCATTATCGCGCTTATGAGAAGAACCTCTGCGCAGTGGCGCGTTCCTTGGCCTGGCGGTCCTTGATGGCTTTCTTGACCTTGGCAAGTTCGTTGGCGATGCCGGCGTCACCGGGAGCCAGCTTCTCGGCTTCCTGGAGGTCTTTCAGGGCCTCGTCCTCCTCCTTCAGGCCGCCATGGGCCACGGCACGGCGGTAGTAGGCCTTGGCCTTGTCGGCATCCTTCGCATTAGCCGCATTAGCGGTCTCCAAGGCGTAGGTAGCCCAGGTCCGAGCGTTTCCGTACTGTGCCAGCTTGTTGGCGAGAAGGGAAGAGTTGGAGTGCAGAGCAAACCGGAGAGTCTTGATCTGGCCATCAAGCTCCTTAGGGTCGTTCTCAGCAGGCTCAGGGAACTCTTGCAGATAGCGCAGACCTTTCTGGTACTTCTCCAGACCAAGAGCAATGTTACCGCTCTTGAACGCGGCATTTCCGTAGTTCTTCAATTCCGACGCAATCTTGAAGCAAACAGGGGCACTCAGCTCCTCACCCTGGTGGTCATCGGGGAAATCCTCGTAGGGGTCGCCGGTAGCATCAGGAGTTTGCTTGTCAGCATTATCGTAATCCTGGCCCGTGAGTTCACCACACTCAACAATGGTGACGTCCTTGACGGGCTTGTCTGCCTGGGTGTTCATGTTCTCGACTTTGCGGACGATACTCTTTCCGTTGATTACTTCACCGAAAACAACATGCTTGCCATCCAGATGAGGGGTGGGGACCGTAGTGATGAAGAACTGACTGCCGTTGGTGCCGGGGCCGGAGTTGGCCATGGATAGGAGGAACGGCCTGTCATGCTTGAGCTCAAAGTTCTCGTCGGGGAATTTCTCGCCATAGATCGATTCGCCGCCGGTACCGTTGAATGCAGTGAAGTCACCACCCTGGATCATGAATTGCTTGATGACGCGGTGGAAAATCGAACCTATGCGGTGGAGGTTAGGACGTATGCGCCGTGGGATCCAGAAGCGGGGTTACACGCCGTACCCTTAAAATGCAATGGCTTGCCCTGCTTCCCCATACCCTTCTCTCCGGTACAGAGAGCACGGAAGTTCTCTGCCGTCTTGGGAACGACTGTACAGGGTCAGTATTTGTGTAGCAAGAAAAATCTCCGTTGGCAATGGGACTGACCATCGTTGAACTGTGAAAGGCGGGGTAGTTAGCAAAGGCTGCTGCTGTACAACCATGAGCGACCGGGGATGGTATTTATAATTAACGTACCAATTCCAGGGCAACACGACCAGCCTTTTCGTTACCAATCTGGATGTCAAAGAAGACACGGGGACGACCTGTATCTCGAATGCGATCAGTATTGGTTTGCGATGTGAGAGCGGAACCCCACAGCGGAGAAAAAGAGCAAAAACGCACGCTGAGAGTCAGCCATGGTTGAGTAGTATAGAGATCGGACGGAGCAGAGAATTAGGTTAGAAAGTGGATCAGTAAATAGATTGAGATGGTTCAGGTCGAGAGTCAGTAAAAGAAGAGGGAAGGGGAGAGGTAGAGAAGTGGACTGGAGCTGAAGGCAGTAAGAATGGGAACGAGTGATGCTTCAGGAAGCTTCCATTGATCACGGGTCTCCGCACCATGCAATTCTTAGCACAATAACACACCTACTTGCCTAGTTCTTCCATTCATACAGTCTAGACTAGTCCAACAATTCATTCAACTGAGGCCAGTCGATCATTGGCGGTTTCTTTTGCAAGGATCTTAGAATCACTAATGACATTCATTCATTAATCTCCCCAAAAAGTCTAACAATCTATTTACCAACCCGGGGTATAAAAAATAGACAGATAGAAAAAAGAGAAAAAAAAAAAAAAATCTAGCAAAATAAAGAACAAGAATGGTATCATATATAATACGGGAATATAACCACCATTATTCCAACAACTCAGGAGGCAATTTAATTTCAATATTTCTCTGAACCGGTTGCGACGGCTCTTCCTTCTCCGATTTCTCCTTCTTCGGCAACTGTGTGTTGATCTCGATCGTAACCTATTGATTTCCATACCCGTCAGTAACCCATTCATAGAAATGTCAAGGGGCAGCATAAGAACGAGCAATGGCTATACCGCTGCATCTTCACTGCGGTAATCTACACCCACCGGCCCGTCGTTCTTCAATTCGACCTCCATCATCGCTTGGAAGATACCGTTCTTTACCCGTTCGGGCTTGTAGGCTTCCCCCAGTCGTCGGAAGAAGTAGTCGTACAGTTTACGGGCAGTCTCTGCGTCAGCGGCGTCGTGGAAGTCTGGTTGCTTGCCCTTTTTCAATTGGCCATAGAGTGTAAATTGCGATACTGCGACGGTCAGCAAGCACAATCAGGATGCAGTTGAAGCATAATCACATACCGCAAAGAACCTCTCCTTCAATATCCGAGACATTTCGCTTCCACTTCACGCCGAGTGATATCCGTCAGAACCAATCCATCTTGTTGCCGGCAATCCGGTCAGCTAGTGGCATACCTGCTTATCTTCCTCGCTTGGGAACAGCTTGGCTTTCAGTATCCGTTGTATTAACGTATCTGCATCCTTCTCTGTGTCTTCCTTGCCAACACCTGCCAGTACGAGCAGACCTCTACCAATCTTAGAGACTAGCTGGCCATCGACCGTAACCGACGCTGATTTAACTCGCTGTATAACCGCTGGCGTTCGTTTAGTGGAGGTGCTTTTGAAGGAGTTGAGTTGGTGACACACCTTTCATAGTGAGATTATCTGACCAATAGGCGTATATATTTGTGGCAAGTGGGGTAAAGAGGGTTATAAGAAATGCGAACAGTCTGTATTCACGGGGATAATTAGCTAGAGAACACAGCACTCGAGGAAACTATTATTTATAGATCTGTAGCCGCTTGCTGTAAACGGAGCTTTCACTTACCGTGTAGATTCACAACACAAGGGGGTTCAAGGTTGGCGAGTAGAAGACCGTTAAGTCGCATATGCGAGGTGAAGCAAAGAATCTGGGGATTCTTATAGAAACTCGAGGCAGAACTATCGGCCAAGAAAGAGGAGTAACGAACAACAGATGATCGGAGGAAAGTTAAGTGGTTTCCGCACCGCACTGAATAACCTAAGGCACACACCTAAGGTATCTACAAACCGATTTCAATACTGAATTACGCCGCCCGTCAAGTCTTGGCGCCAACTGAGCTCTTCGACAGGCGCTTGATCCATACCACATATCAGGAGATTGTCTATTCTTCACCCCCAGGACTTCTCTTGACAATCAATTAACTCACTCATCCACCGCGCACACGTCCTTCAATTTAGGACAGAGTTGCCTGGCAACCTTGACCCTTATTTACCCCCACGGAATTCCCAGACGTCGACTTCATACGAATCCCCCCATCCGCCCTACCTTTCTCCGCTTCCCACCCACACCTCGAGTACAATTTTCAGCCTCCTTCCGTGGCCATCTGTTCATGTGAACAGCAGCCATGACATCGCGAAAGACGCAACAAGAGATCGACAAGACCTTCAAGAAGGTCGCCGAAGGTATTCAGTCGTTCGAGGGCATCTACGAGAAGATCCGCTCCACTTCAAATCCGACCCAAAGGGATAAGCTCGAGGAGAACTTGAAACGGGAGATCAAGAAGCTCCAACGGTATCGCGACCAGATCAAATCATGGGCGTCAGGCAATGAGGTCAAAGACAAGGGACCGCTGCTGGAGCAGCGCCGAGCCATCGAAACTGTGGGCTAACGATTCCCCGACAAATCCTGCCCTCCAACGGCGTATCGAACTTGCGAGTAGCTAACACAGGTGCAGTGTATGGAGCAGTTCAAAGCTGTAGAAAAGGAAATGAAGACGAAAGCATACTCGAAAGAGGGCCTTTCGGCCGCATCCAGACTCGATCCGAGAGAAAAGGAAAAGGTGGAGACATGTGACTTCTTATCGAGTATGGTCGACGAGTTACAACAAAAGATCGAGGCCATGGAGGCCGAGGAAGAGACACTGCATATGCAGATGAAGAAGGGTAGGAAGGATGTCGCCAGGGCCAACCGATTAGCGGATCTTACGCGGATAACGGAACGACATAAGTGGCATGTCAATAAGCTGGAACTCTTGCTACGATCGCTGCAGAACGGGAATGTGGAGGTAAACCAAGTGTTGGACTTGAAAGAAAGCATAAAGTACTATGTAGAGGACGGGCATAATGTGGACTACTCTGGCGAGGATGAGACCCTTTATGATGACCTGAATCTAGATGGTGAGACTGAGGCACAGTTCGGCATGACGGGTGACAACGACCGGGTGTCATCGCAAGATACACAATCTGTCCAGGACGAAGAGCTGGACTTGAAGCCGAAACCCGTCAAGAGTGAACCCATAGCGCCTCGAAGACCCTCAGCGCAGATGAAATCGCCGCTCCCAGTGCTTGCGACGCTACAATCGTCGACGTCTACCAGTGCTACGTCTGGGATGAAGCCCGCACCACCGCCCACCCGTCTACCTGGGGAGACCCTCAAATATGCCTCCGCGGCGGCCGCGGCGGCAGCCAGCGATAAGAACGGGGTTGGCATTGCTCCCCTCCCTCCACCGCCGGGCGCCAGTCCTGCTTTCCCCGCCGCCAGTTTGGCCTCAAGACCGTCGTCGACTGCTTCCCCTAGCATTGCTTCGGTACAACCTGTATCTAGGCCGGCCGCGACGGCCAGTATCACTTCGGAAGAGCGGTCCAAGACGCCCGCGCACAGCCCCAGTGTCACTGCTGCGAGTGCGTCGAACACGGTGCAGTCGACGCCTGCGACCAAGAAGGCGGAGACGTCAGCCACCAAGGAACCACAGCCAACGGTGAACGGTGAGGCGAGCAAGGAAGAGTCGCGCGAGGAGGAATCGATATACCACCTGCCTCCGGGACTGCAAGATCTGATCCATTCCTTCGAGGTGACCAAGAGCCGAGCGGCCGCACAAAGTTCCACAAACCCCCCTCCTTCAGTGCAACGGCTCCTTACGGCATCACTCAATACCTGTCCCGAGCCAGCGGATGCTGAAAAGCCACGTCACTATAAACCTCAGAACCCGTACAATACCCCTCTTTATTACCCTCAAGAGCCGCTTGCCATCTTCGACGACCCCCGGTTATACGACACGGGACGGATCGATACGGATACACTGTTCTACCTGTTTTATTACCGACAAGGCACATATCAACAATTCTTGGCGGCCAAAGCGCTCAAGAACCAAAGTTGGCGATTCCACAAGCAGTACCAGACCTGGTTCCAACGGCACGAGGAGCCCAAGACCATCACAGAGGAATTCGAACAAGGGACGTATCGGTTCTTTGATTACGAGAGTACATGGTGAGCTGAGTCTTCTCTTTCACTTCTCGTTTTCCTTTTTTTTTCACCTTTCTTTCTCCCATTGAAGTTGTTTTACATGTCGGGGTCCAATCTCCGAGATGTCTCGGACAAACCGCTAACGCAGCACACAGGATGAACCGTCGTAAGGCCGATTTCAAGTTTGTCTACAAGTACCTGGAAGACGAACTATAATGCGGCTTTAGTCTCCTTGTTTCTTTGAGTTCGTGTATGTATGGTAGGCATTAGGTCCAATGATTTGCGGTGTGGTTATGGGTCATCTACACTGGAGACGGGCATTGAGTTTCAGATCCTTCGGGTTGCCGACGGATGGGAGTCTGTCATTTCGTTTGACTTTTTTTTCTTCTCCCTTTTTTTTCACTTCTTTGTGTTTGCGAGATTTCTTCAGGAACGAGTAAACGACTGGGACTGCGGGACAGGGGGAGTTCTGCGCTGATCTTGCGTGGCGGCTGATGGGATATACAGCCATGTCTTATGCACACACTGTTGGGTTGGCCCCTTGAGGAATGCAACCATCGTCCAAAGATCTTTGACCGGTGATGATTATTACTGCATCCGTTCCGTGTTCAGACTCGTCTGGACCGAGTCTGGCGTTCTGGCATCCGTAGCGATTAGGAGAAGCGTAGCCCGAAGCAGCAATCCGAGCCGGCGTGTGGCTCGCGATCACCCAAGGTTGGACAGATGAAGCCGAGTCTGCATCCACCTTAGGGAGTGTTCACCATTGGGATGGTTGATCGCTATCGGACAAAGAAGCAGCAAAGATGAAACAGTAGTAGAGAAGTAAACGTTCGGCTAGGGAACGGTTGCTGCTATAATTATTGTTCGTATTATTGGACGAGCGGAATGAACCTACGGTCAGCTATCACGAGTAGGAGTAGTAGGAATTGAGAAGGGAAGACTGAGAGGTTCCAAAGCTATGACTAAGGTTAGGGCGATCACCGGACTCGGACCTTTACGCTTTCTGTGCCCGACACACAGACAACAAGAAAACAAAGGGCAACAATTGATTTCTCCGTCTCTCTCTCTGTGTGTGTGTGTGCGTGTGCGTGTGTGTCTGTCTTTCTGGGTGTTTCTCGCCCGTCCGCCTCACTCACCGTCGAGTCATTTGTTAAACGCAAATTAAAAGCCTCAAAAAATAATTAAATGACGGTCAGACTAAAAAGTACCTCGCATCTTCAAAAATCCCTCACGGAACGGTTCAAAGTTCCCCCTGCGTGGACTAGTTGAATTACTTCTTACGGAGTGGCTGGTGGAAGGAATAGAATCATCGTTCATCAATCAGTCGACGGTGAGTGGTAGTACCAAAGATATCAGCACCAGCATCATCATCAAGGGCGGTAGCAGTGTATGTCGGTGCAAGTGGGCTGTGTGCGGCTATCTTCTCCGTCACCCGGTAGGCACTAGTAGTTTACCAGTGTACCAGTTGGACCATGACAATCTCGTCCATCCATGGTTTCAATCCGTAAATCCATGTTCCTCATTGAATTAATTTTTTTTCTTTCTGAATGGAAACGGATCCATTCATTATGTGGTTCTTTTATTAGGAGAAAAGTAAACCTTGAATGCGATGAATTCGTTCTCCCCAGACTTGGTGTTCACCGAATCAACCTGGGACTTGGCGCCAAGGCCGGCGTCTCCACTGCCACAAGGCTGTCGAATCGCTGATTTTCGTCCCGAGCATCAAAGAAAATGTGTCGGAAAACGTGCCGACCTGGAAAATCAGGTTGGGTGTTCATGCCTTATCCCCATGTTCATGTACAGGTCCCTGTCCGGTATCAGGAACAATCATAGTACCCTTCATTATCCTAGTACTAATTATAATCTTCATCATCTTAAACTTCACTCGGTGATAATAATAATAATAATACTACTACTATCATAAAATACTATATCTATCAAAAAAACAAAATAAAAATACAACAGCATAAAGAATAAAATCCAATAAATAAAATAAATCATAAAGATAATCCAGTCAAACATAAAGTCAGAAACCGAATCGGGTAAAGTCTGGCAGATGACTGTCCAAAGCCAACGTTGCCATCAGTGCCATCATCTCCACCCGCATCGCTTGCCTGTGACGGAGATAATCACAACAATCTCCTCGGAGCACAATCCCCCTCCGTCGACGGTGGATACAACGACAACGACAACAGCAACAGTCGCTCGTCAGGGGATTCATCAGTGCGTTCCGATCAGTGAGGGAAAATCAAAACCCACGGTCCAAGCCGTTCCTGACGAATGAGACCTGGTTAAAACAGGCGGAGAGAGACACTAGGATGTCCGTTTACGGCAAGACTCTAGTCGGGTGCCATGTCTGCCTTATTGGCTTCGAAGGGTCCACCGATACTTGGACCTTGTGGGGTTGGATTTAGTGCGCCTGGACGATGATGTAAAGTTCAAGCAGGAAGCATCATCATCTGTGGTGTTACCTGTTGTCAGTTATTCCTTATCGGCCCGTGTTTGCTGTGCCCCTGGGGCTGGATCTACCAATCATCCCCTGCCAGGACATCACCGGTCAATTCCACTCTTCCCCTAGAAGCCTGGCAGAACCTTCGATCCTTTCTAGCGGCGTTCTTAGCGTCAGCAACGCAAGGACGCTTCACTTCCGCTGCGCCAATGAGACCCATCCGCGGTTCGTGGCAGTGCGTCGCAGTCGTTCCCGACTGCATGCCCCCCGGCCAATATTCATGTCGATTTCCTGCATGGGTCCCCCCAGCTAGCATTCTTAGTCGTTGATCGTGGAGCTGTTGCTCACCTGATGATGTCGCCATGGATCTCCTTCGTGTTATTAACACGCCAGATGGGTCCCCTAGTCAGACATCGTTGTGGAGAAAGCGCGGTTTGCTTTGCTCTACTCCATGTGCGACGTACAAACCTCGAGATACTCGCGTTATATAAAGGCTCGACTTCCCCCCAAACCTGGGGATGCTTACCCACTGACCTTCAATAAGTTTGGAACTCAACTGCGATTGACTTGACCAACCTACTGGATTCCTTCCTTTCTTTTTCCCAGTATACATAATGTTGCGTTACTCTTCTCCAATGGTATGCCAATGATACACTGTTGATCTCCTGTGTTTCTATTTCTTTTCTTTTTTCATATTTTTCTTTTTGTATGGTTTTCTGCTGGCCTGTCTGGTAATCAATGTGACAATATATTTCTGGCTACCTTGCGTACTTGCACAGTACACATCAAGCGCATCAGTAACTCAACTAACCGTCGCATTTCAGAACCCTCATGCTGCGGCATGCCCTCCCATGGAGCACTCCTACTCGACCAGCAGTGAGGAGTCCATGCAGTCTCCGATGGGATACTATGAGGTGTACGCCATGGCGAGCAATGATATGGAGCTCTACCATGCCCAGTCCAATGCATCCTCGTATTCTTCCTCCTATCCATCTTCCAACTATTCCTACTCCTCCTCATTCGGCTCGTCCTACGACTCGGGCTCTTTTGAGGCGTCTTCCTACGACTCGGCCTCCTATGACTTTACCACCCCTCCACCCGTCTACTGCCCACCGGATCTCAATCCACAGTTCGCCCCACAGTACTTTTCGTCCCCCGTTCAGGGCACATGGCCCACCCCCCCTGCACAGGTCACGCCGGTGGAGGATTTCCCCTACCCTCCACTGGAGACCCACTTCACTCCGTGCGAGACGGCCAAGTAAGTCTCGAGCCATGGAATAGGTTCAGCCATCTCATTTCGCAAGGAATGCTAATTGTCTGTCTAGACCGGCGAAGCCCTACGTCTGCGAGTGCGGCCGGGCGTTCACTCGGCCAGCGGACCTGAAGCGGCATGAGTCCAGCGTCCACAACCCTGTCTTCCAGGACTGCCCGGTCCAGGGATGCATCCGCAAGGACAGCAATGGTTTCCCGCGTCGCGACCACTTGATTGAGCATCTGCGGTCGTACCACCATCTCGATGTGCCGAAGCGCCGTGCGGCTACTAAGCGGGTGGCAAAGGCGGCCTAAGATGCGACACGATGATGTCTTGGCCGCCCTCTCCTGTATGGGCTTGGGCCCTTCTGCCATAGTTGTTCATTGGCTTCAGGGCAGTGATCTGCCGTATGTGACTGCGTGACATGCTTGGCACCTCATCCTCCCCTGGAGTGATTTCTTTGTCTACACCTTCTCCCCTGGTTCATACTCTGCATGTCTATGCTTGTGTCCACTATCTTTCCTTCGTCTGCATCGTCCACTCGGACGACCCGCATCCTCTTTTACTGTGTTTTTGCTTCAGGTTCATGTATTGATGACGACTCATGTACGGATACCAGACCGGCGTTACGCGATAGACGGTGCATTGTATCGTCTGGGATTTTGCTTTCTTTTCACTTCTTCGCGCATGACATGGCCGTCTCTGAGGGACTCAGGACCGCAGACCACATGTCCATTAATTTTTTTTTTCTCTTCCCTTCACAGTCCCCCCTTTAATTCTCATTCCCCCCCTTTTTTTTTTTCTTTTTTTGCCTTTCATATTTACCTTTCCATCAAGCTCAAGCTTCAGGATACACAAGACCAACGGCGTCCGGGAGTTAATGCATTACATTAATCCAATAAACCCAGTTGTGTAATACACTTGTGCTACAGTATCCAAAGCGCACTAGCCCTAGAAGAAACTCGTAGTCCAGCGGCGTACCTAACGTACTGCAGCCTTAGCCACCGAACTAAGCCCGACACTAAAGCAAGCAAGCCCAGAAAGCGAGACAGAAAGCCAGAGACAGAGAGAGAGAGAGAGAGAGAGAGAGAGAGAGAGAGAGAAAACAGATCCCTTTGTTCCCTCCCCTCGGGCCCCCAACTACCTCAATGAATCAGGGCCAGAAAGCCCTCCCAAATAAGATTTTCTTTATATCCCCCTCCCCCCACACATAACCACCACAACAACAACAACATCAACCCGCCACCGCAATATCAACAACCAAGGAACCGGCTACCTCCGGCAAAAGAAAAAGAAAAAAAAAAGCGCAAAACTCGGTGCTACAAAAATAGTTACACCGTCAGCTCTGGGACGATCTCCAACCTTATTTTTGACTGCTTTTAGCCAGGTACAGGACTGCTTCCACTGGGTGGATCCGGACGATACGGTTGACACAGTGAACAAAGAAACCTGGGTAAAAGGTAACTGGATCTGCTGTTTTTGGCTGGGCAGGAAGTCGTAAATAGCTGGGAGAAAGTTTATACTGGGGTTGGGGGGTGGTGTTTCATGTTGCCCTCAGGTACTGGGATCATTAAGGATGGGCTTTTGTTTGATTCTACTCTTCTTAGTCTTGGTCCTGGTCTTACTCTGAGACAGTACTTGGCAGGGACAAGACCGGCATTTGCATTGCATTGCATTGCATTGCATGAAAGAGAACAGGAATAGAATACTAGAATTCTGACGTACATATGGGATAAAAAAAAAAGAAACACAACCATTCTTACATTCTCAGGTCAAGATACATACGAAGTACTAAGTACACCTGGATAGACTAGATTGTGGTGGTGGCCCACCACCCCCGGTGAGAGAGAAAGAAAGAAAGAAGCCCAGAATCAAAAGGAAGGAAAATTCACAAAACACTCGCCCTTCGCTCTCCACCGTCCGTCCCCACCCTTCGTTCGACCTTTCGACGAGCCAGCAGCAACCCACTCAAACCCCACCCCCTCCTCTTCGAGCATCGCGCGCTTCCTCTCCAGATTCGCATGTCCGCTTGCCGGCCCAGCGCCCATGTACCCGCCGAGCCCGCCGTCGGCGCTGAGCACCCGGTGGCAGGGCACGTCCGGCGCGAACGGGTTCGTCCGCATGGCGGTGCCGATGGCGCGCGCGCTGGAGTGCAGATGCGTGGCCAGCGCGGAGTAGGTCGTCCAGCGGCCGGCGGGGATGGAGAGGAGGGCGAGGTAGACGCGCCGGCGGTAGGGGGTTAGGGTTGGGTGGGATTTGATGCGGTGGATTTGTTTGAGCATGGTTGGATTTGGGGTTTGTGTTGGGGACTGTGTTGAGGTTGGTGGTGGAGATGGAGATGTAGTTGTGGCTGTAGTTAGCGTGAGTGTGTTTGGGGGTGGTGCTGGTTTGGTGGTGGCCATTATTGTTCTTGGGGTTGATTGTTGTTGTTCTTTGTGTTGTTTTATGGTATTGTTTTGTTGTTGAAAGGTTGGAAGGCTGGGTTGGTTAGGTGGTTTTGTGTGAAGCTGTTACTGGAGTCACGCACCTAGGCGGCGATATTGGTTTTTATTTATATAAATTAGAGGTGAGGTGGTGGGGAGGAGGTTGGGTGGCTTTATATGCTTCTGCTCATGGATGTCCGTGGATGATGTTGATGTTGATGTGGAACTGGCCAATCAGGTGTTGCGCTGCGGTCGACGTCTGGCACCTCACTGGATATACTAGTACGGTCTATCACTCCAACAATAAGGTAGTCTAGATTAACCCTATTAAAGATACGATTACAGCCTGCCCTGCTAGAGAAGAGAAGAGAGTGTCATTGACGACCAGTCTTTGCAATATGGCGTCGGGTATATCGCAGAAGTGGGTATCCCTGATCTACATGTATATTATGGCGTTATCGACCGTCCACCCGTTGAGTCGTTCATCATCCATCCATAGACAAACTCCACCACTACGCACTCGAAACATTCTCCTCCCGAGCATCCGTCGGCTTGCCCATCTCCGGATCCACTGCGCTGTTCTTGCGGTTGGCCGTTTCAATATACCCCGGGTTTTCCGCCTTAAGACGGGCGAACGTCCGCTCGGCATCCCACACCCACGGCGTGTCGGCAGCAAATAGCAAGTCCATGTCCTCCAACGTCCGCTGGTTACTCTCTGGATAAAGAGCCCATACCATCGGGATGGTGATGACGTTGCTGGCCGCGAATACATACAGCGTCTTTTCGCCGATGGCCTCGAACATCACCGGACACAATAGAGTCTAGCCGATCAGTCAGGGAACTTCTCAGGCAGCCTGCAGGGCACTTACCAGCCAACCGTTTCCAATACTCCATCCCACAACGCCCCAGGCGTTTCCTTTTGCGCGGACCGCCAATGGATAGATCTCAGCAGGATAAATCCATGGTACTAGTCCAGTTAGCAGAGCCAGCAGAAGCAGTGGAAGCATTCGACGTACCCGTCAACCACGTAGCTCCGAAGACAGAAGTGAAAATGAAGACCATCGACGCAGCGGCAGCGCCAAACGAGTTAGCCCGAGAGAGATTGCCATCAGCCCGCGCATCAATGGCAAGCCGGGAGAAGCCTCCGGCTAGGAACATAGCGATACCCTGCGCGGTGGATCCCCAATACAATGTCCACCTACGACCAATCCGATCGAGTGTGAATACACAGATAAGGGTCGCGAACTAGTCCTGTCAGCCATGTCATTGCAGCGATGTTCTGGCCATCCTACCATATAGAAGACATTATTCAAACCGCTGATCCACTGGCTCTTCATCGAGTCGAATCCAGCAATGCTAAAGATAGTTGGCGCGTCTACACTCGTCAGTGATGCGCTTGTGGGTGGGGACTGGGGTTCAAGTAGACATACAAACGGTGACACCAGCAATGCCGACCCATTCCTGCATGATCTGCAGCCAGACCACCAGTTGCACGCGTCGACCGAGATGCAGCTTGCCGGTTTTATAGCCGAAGAGCATCGCCAAGTAAGAGGTGCTATGGTTCATGCTCTTTTCCATCTCTGCGACGTTTTGGATGTCGAGGAACTCGGCCTCGGCGCGAACGGCGTCTTCATCACTGCTTCCACGGAGCCGACCAAGAATGTAGCGCGCTTCTTGCTCGCGACCGACCTTGACTAGCCACCGTGGGGACTCTGGGAAAAACCAAACAACGACAAACAGTAAGAGTAAAAAGATAATCTGGAACGCGATCGGGAATCGCCAGCGGAACGGAGACCTTCCGCCATCGATGAAAGACAGTCCACTAGAACCGATTAGACCAATCTAGATGCTTGGAAGGTTAAGACCTACAATTCCAGCCAATAAGCTAGGACGACACCGAAGATATTCAGAGTAAACTCGATTGCAATGAATTGTCCTCGGGATGTATGCTCGGCAGTCTCCGTCGCCCAGACCGGGACAATTGCGTTCAGAATACCAGTGCCAATGCCATTGATGAAGCGCGCTGAGTAGTTGTGAGTCTATGAGGTCTGACGGAGATCCATCTGGAGTTGACTCACAGCAAATCATCCAATTATGGTTTTGTGCGGAACACTGCAACGCAGCACCAAGAATAGCCCAGAGAGCGCCTGCCGCAATCGTCTTGATCCGGCCAATACGATCTCCTGTCCAGCCACCAAGGAGTGCGCCGAACAATGTCCCCAGATAATAGACCGACACGATTCCGCCTTGCAGCAGACTGTCCGTGACTACTGGGGTGAGGTAGCCGTCCTTCATCTCGGTGTAACCGAATCCCATGAGGTCGATGTAGTCTTTCGAATTGTTGACTCCTGCCATCATGCCCTGGTCATATCCGAAGAAAAGAATCGACAGCGCCGCAACACTGTTGATGCCAATGAGAAGCTTGCGCTTCTCCAATTTGTGGACAACATTCCACTTGTGTATCTGGTCGCACATGGCGAGGACTCAATGTTTCGAAAATTGACTGCGAATGATGAATCAATGCCCCAGCAAAGGGTGTTCTTCGGGACCCTCCGCTTCTCGCCCAAATAGCTTGACAAGAAGATTAAGGGACAAATAGTGCCGCCAGAGACCTTCCATATACACACACCTGTGGGGTGACACAAGGTCTATATATGCTTTGCCGAAAAACAGCAATCGGCCGATGGCCGACAGTGATTTTGTCCTGCATAGTGATCGACCAGCCCATGGGATGATGATCAAGGCCATCCTGAATCGAATTGGGTTACATTCCGTGTGGGAGAAACCTAGAAGACTGGATTGGAGACATAGCACATGCAAGGTCGTTGATTTTCTCCACCGAGATACACGATGTTACTCGCTAAACGGCCCCGCAAGAAAAAAAATCTGGAGATAGCGAAGCCGGATTTGGCTCCAGACCGGCACAATACGAATCAAAATCGGTAATCCGGGCGGCGGGAAAAACGATGCCACTGATACCTGGACCGGCTTTCTCAACCGGGAAGAGAACCCGGGAATTTTCACCACACTTCATCTTCAACGAAAACCGACCTTTGCACCAGAGAACGATTATAGCCTGACAGCGCTAGCCGGGGAACACGTTTGACTCGGTTAAACCGCCATTGTGACAGGGGAGCGTTCATTGCATCAACGGGTGAAGATCGCTTTGGAGAAACTCGGTCCAGGGACGATGACATAACTTGAACACCAATCTGGGACGGTGGAAGGATTTAGTATGGGCGTGAAGATTGACGAATACAGGCGTTGGCCAGTGCCAGCCTCTCCTCCATTGCGGGGATTCTGGGGATCGCTTGAGTGGGGAAGTTTGAGGGAGAACATGGAAATGCTGTTCGGGACTTCCCCGACAATGACCAGGTGACTCGGAACACCTGATTCCCAGGTGACTGTATCCTTTTATTTGTTGTTTTCCTTTATCTAACTTTTTTTTTTTCTTTCTACAATACCCTATTGTAAGATTACATCCATGGTTCGAATCTCTTCATGAGTCCATGCGCCGGTCGGACGCTGATTTGCCTCCGACATGTTAGATATACATCTCAATTTGCCTATTTCCCCGGTTAGACATTACCCTTACGCGATTTTTAATAAAATGATATTTCCTGATCTTCGATATACACGAATATGTGTACCCAAACGAGGCCGAAAAGCCGATGTGTGCTCCCATCAACCTCATGGCTCATGGCTCTCGACAGTGAAACTCCGAGCCAACTAATGCTGTATCTCGGAGGCTACTCGTTCACGTACTCATGCTCCTTGAAGACTTTCTGAAGGATATCAAGTATCACAAATTCCTTGCGGGCATTGTACTCCATCACAGTTTCCCCGGCCAACCGACTAGCGGCAGCTGCCTGCCGTTTGACGTCTGCATAGCTTCGGCGGTCGTCCTCATGGTTTCGCAACCAGTCACGGAACAGCCGATGGCGAATAAGTTCCGCGCTATTCGGACTAAATATATGGATATTCGCGTATGGGTCATTGAAACCGAAAAGGCGATGCTCATGCCAGCCAGGTTCGCGAAGCAAGAATTGAAACCCCGCAGTCTCAAGGGCCGGCACGTAGGAGTCTTCCGCCGTGGGATCAGCTACGACGACGTCAACATCGATAACCGCTTTGGCGGGTAATCCAGGCACGCTGGTTGACCCGACGTGCTCAATAGAGAGAAGTCGGTTACCAAGGGCATCAGCAATCCGGCGTGCAATATTCGCAAACGACTCCGGCCAGGTTGGGTCTGGCTCCACGATTTCAATCAACTTTTGCGGCCGGGTTGAAACGACTTCGACACCAGGTGGCATTTGAGACGACTTTGTAATCTCATTCGTGGAGGCCATCCTGGTAGCAAACAAGGTCTTATGGTAATATAAATCTTACCGATGATGTTGCAGCTAGATCATACCTCCAGTGACCTGGAGGACAGTTTTGCGCAAGATTGCATAAGCTGCTGGATGACTCAGACCAAGATCAATAACAATCCCCCAGACTCGTATTAGGCACCCAATAACTGGAGCGCAGCTAGTAACAATAAGGTATAGTCCTTTCCCTGGGTTCTTAAGAGGACAATGAACTTCCATATTGGACCATACTGTCTCCGTATACTGGTCTTTAGCGATTCAATGCCACAAACTTCGGTGCTTCTTGGCACACCTTCAACTTGTTTTCCGCCATTCCAGTCGCATTGAACGATTGGGATTCCCATATCTACTCCGATCAGCAGATGTTCGATTTCAGCCACGCAGGAGCTTGAACCCTTGCAGCTTTGAAGCTCCCTCTCAAACAAACGCCCTTGTATCCAGTATTTACATGTGGACACTGTACTGTTCGAAAATCGTTCATGCGCAACAACCCCAACCAACGTGGCCATCAGGAAAAACTATCAGAGCAATCCTGCATAAGAAGTATCACAAATACCTTCTTGAGGTTAGAAGTATGAAAAGGTCTTTGTTGTCGGAGAACGGCGAGAGGCATACTTCGATTACGTTATTTACCAACCAGGTGACCTGGGCCTCACTGGAAAGATGCCGACGATAACCTTGAAGGTGTAATACTGATTCCACGTTACCCGCGGAGAACACGCGACATCCTATACGTCCATTTTTTGCCTTTTTCTAAGTTGATAATTCATACCAAAAGAAAGGCCACTGTTGCAAGATGCGAGGGGTCTTCACTGGGTTTTGCACGGTGTTAGTCATCGTAAGTCAAGTGTTGCTTTCCCTTTTAGGCAGTTTATGAGGTATTTATGGTTCACCGGTCCGCTGACAAAGCGTTGCAGAATGTCTTGAACCCTCCGTACACCACCGTATCGGACCTGGATAGAAGGCCTGGAATGTCTGGCGAGGATGGCCAGGAGAAGATCCAAATGTCCAATGACCTCATGCCTAGTTGAACTAGAGAGACATCCACATATACGGCGTATGCACCATACCACTGGGTCGGCAATATGGCAAAGGTTAGCCGAATTGACCCGAAGATCACTGGTCTGGATAATTACATACGCGGCGGAATACCGTATCAATACCGGCCCGCCAGCTTCTGCTGGCAAAACCTCAAGAAAGCTTCTTGTCCCAACATCCTTTTTCCCTATACTATACCCTCCTTCCTTCTACCACCTGCAATTGCTGCCTCCCCTTTCCTCTCCACCTGCTTTAATTGGAGGATTGGCTGTCCATTCTAATCGCTATCTTTCTTGTTTTTTTCTTCTCTAATTCCCCATCTTTGTCGCCATGTTCCGGAGTCTCTTGCCGCGGGCTGCACCGCGGGCTGCCCTCCGCACTGCTCGCCCTCAGCCTGTTCCTTCTAACTTCGTCACTGCTCCTACCCTCTCCTTCCTCTCGAAACGTGGCTACGCCTCCGAGTCTGGTATGTGTCCGGTTTTTCCTCCTGCGTCAGAACGGCCAGGGACAGGACCTGCGCTTCCGAAAACGGCTGAGATCGGTTACTGATGGGCGTTGGGATAGGTGAACATGACCTTGTTATCATCGGTGGTGGTGTCGCTGGTTACGTTGCTGCCATCAAGGCCGGTCAGGAAGGCTTGAAGGTGCGCTCAAATTCCCGGTGGACCTCGATCGGAGATTTTCTGCTAACCACGGAGCTCGCCGACAGACTGTCTGTATCGAGAAGCGTGGTCGTCTTGGAGGCACCTGCTTGAACGTCGGCTGTATTCCCTCGAAATCTCTCTTGAACAACTCCCACCTTTACCACCAGATTCTTCACGACACGAAAAAGCGCGGTATTGAGGTCGGTGATGTCAAGCTGAACCTCGAGCAGATGATGAAGGCCAAGGATACCTCCGTCGAGGGTCTGACGAAGGGTATTGAGTTCTTGCTCAAGAAGAACGGTGTCGACTACGTCAAGGGCACTGGTGCTCTTGTTGATCCTAACACTGTCAAGGTGAACCTGCTCGAGGGTGGTGAACAGACCCTTCGCGGAAAGAACATCCTCATCGCCACCGGTAGCGAGGCCACTCCTTTCCCCGGCCTCAACATCGACGAGAAGCGCATCATCACTAGCACTGGTGCTCTTTCGCTGCAGGAAGTTCCCAAGAAGATGGTTGTCATTGGTGGTGGTATCATTGGTCTGGAGATGGTATGCTTGCGACTTTTTGCAATGTGAGAGGTTGGAGACATCAAACTCCATACTAACGTTGATGATAGGCTTCCGTTTGGTCTCGTCTCGGTGCCGAAGTTACCGTTGTTGAGTTCCTGAACCAGATCGGTGGACCTGGTATGGATGCAGAGATTGCCAAGCAGGCTCAGAAGATCCTGTCGAAGCAGGGCATCAAGTTCAAGACCGGCACCAAGGTCATGAATGGTGATGACAGTGGCGCTACTGTTTCGATTAACGTCGAGTCTGCCAAGGGTGGCAAGGAGGAGACCCTGGATGCTGACGTTGTCCTGGTTGCCATCGGTCGCAGACCTTACACCGAGGGTCTTGGCTTGGAGAACGTTGGTATTGAGAAGGACGAGCGGGGCCGTCTGGTCATCGACCAGGAGTACCGCACTAAGGTTCCTCACATCCGTGTCGTTGGTGACTGCACTTTCGGCCCCATGCTTGCCCACAAGGCTGAGGAGGAGGCTGTTGCCGCTGTTGAGTACATCACCAAGGGATACGGTCACGTCAACTACGGTGTCATCCCCAGTGTGATGTACACTCACCCCGAAGTTGCCTGGGTTGGTCAGAACGAGGCGGAAGTCAAGGCCGCTGGTATCAAATACCGCGTCGGTACTTTCCCCTTCAGCGCCAACTCCCGTGCCAAGACCAACCTCGATACCGAGGGTCAGGTCAAGTTCATTGCTGACGCTGAGACTGACCGTGTGCTCGGTGTTCACATCATTGGCCCCAACGCCGGTGAGATGGTTGGTGAGGCTACCCTGGCTGTTGAGTACGGTGCTTCTTGCGAGGACATTGCCCGGACGTGTCACGCTCACCCTACTCTTTCCGAAGCTTTCAAGGAGGCTGCCATGGCTACCTACTCCAAGGCCATCCACTTCTAAGTTCATGTTACCAATTCGCCATCTGTATCTTTCTAGACTAGCTACGCTAGCAACCCTGTAGCATTTGACTGGTTATATTTCCTATGTTGGTTGCGTGTACTGAGACTTATGAATAAAAGACCTTATTCTTATCACAAAGAGTAACTCGACGGACTTCCCAGTCGCCAGGCGAGACTAATATTTGATTACTTGATCGTATTTCATGTGATGGTCTGGACTGAGCGACATGAAGAGATAGTTTCTAGCTGAATCTCTGCCAGCACGGAAGTGTTCTGTCATCGCGATGTTTCTATGGACTAATATCTAGAAGCAGACACAACGGTTTACGCTCTATTCGGGAATCTGAAACACGTGGCCGGAGGATGTCGGCATCTGTCTGCTATACGTCATAGACGGCGCAAAGGGGAGCACCCATTCCTTCAAAACCGCAAGGAAGGCATTGCAAACAGCATCCACAGCCTGTTCACGAGACGCTCCACAGCTTTCCACATACACTTTCAAACAGTCAGTCATATAATCCAAAGGGCCCGGGATGTGTATGCCACTCACGCTTAACTTTCGGCTCCGTCCCTGAGGCGCGGAACGTAAACCGCACATCCTGGTCCAGCCAGAGAGTCAACATCTGGCTGGACTTATCAACCGGCAGCGTAGGCTTGTTGTCAGCCGTACCGGAGTCATAGCCCTCGGTCATGTCTCGCCAGCGCAGAATCTTGAACGGGCCCAGGGTCTTCTCGATTCTATAGGGCCCATTCCGAATGGCTCCGAACAAAGCCATTGTTATCTCCGGGTTCGGGGACCGGAAGTAATTGTTGAGGGTTTCGTAGTGGCCAAATTCCTTGAAGAGCTGCTGTAGTTTCATGTACGGGGTGAGTCCTTGCGACTGCCATTTGGCCTGTGCTGCTAGGAAGACCATTGCTGCGGTAATGCCGTCTTTGTCGTGGCAGACGGCTGGGAACATGTAGCCTAGTGCTTCTTCAAATGCGTAGGGGACAGTGTAGCCCTCGCCTTCGAGGCGTCGGGCGATGTTCCCCATCCATTTGAAGCCGGTTAGTGCCTCTTCGAATTGGATACCCCTCGCTGTTGCCATTTTCTCGACCATGCCTGTGGACACTGTGGAGTTTAGGACCGCGATGCGTGTGTCGTCCTTTTTGTTTTCCAGGGAATCGAATAGATGAGATGCGAGTAAGACTCCGATATGGTTGCCTGTGAAAGAAAACCATGATCCGCTGGATGCTTGGTCAGATCATCGATAGTTTTCAAAGATATCAGAGTGCAGCACGTACTCAACTTTCTCGGCGGCAGCAAAACGATCCGCATCAGGATCATGGGCAATGATCAAGGTTTTGCCTTCCTTGTCGGCGGTTTGCATAGCCAGATCCAAAGCTCCCGCTTCTTCGGGGTTGGGGAACGATACTGTGGGGAAATCCGGGTTGGGCTCTACTTGCTCCGGGACAGGAGTGAATTCGGTTACGCCCACAGACCGGCAGAGATCGGGGAAGACAAGGCCTCCAACTCCGTGCAGGGGTGTGTAGACAAAAGGCCTTGGTTGTTTCCAGTCAGACACAGTTGAGTTCTACATGAGTGATTAGCACAGTGGGCAGCAAAGTGGATGCGCACTTACCGCGTAATCCCAAACCGTCTTTGTATAGTGAGGTAAGATGGTCTTATATGCATCAGCGTGTAGATATTCGCAAGCCTGGAGATCTTTCCAGGCACCAGGCCATGGGGCGAGGTTTTCCTCAATCGACTGGGCTATCTCTACATCAACGGGGGTGTTGATCTGGGCGCCGTTCTTGAAGTATCTGGAAGCATGTCAATGATAACTCAATGAAACAAATAAGTAAGTGGTAACGGACACTTTGTAGCCTATACAAAAAGTGGTTAGTAGGTCAAAATATCAGATTTGAAGGTTGAGGCTTACCATTATCTTGTGCCGGGTTCTACTGGGGAGTTAGTTCTATTTTTCATTTTCGTATTTGTTTTGGAATCTTCGAGGGAGCACCTACATGGCTTGCGGTGATCATAATACCAGCAGCAGCTTTCAAGTGAGTTACTCCAAAAGGCACCGATGGAGTCACAGAGGGTTCGGAATAGAACCAAACCGGGATCTGCTGTGAGATGAAGGCATTCGCAGCCAGAGCTGCAAACTTGGCAGAGTTATGACGAGCATCATGACCGATAACCACTCCGCCCGAGGCAACATCTGTATGCTTCTCCTTCAAATACTTGGCCAGGCCTTGCGACGCTTGGATGACGGTTAAAGAGTTCATGCAGGAGAAGCCTGCCGCCATCCGGCCGCGAAGGCCTGCAGTCCCGAATTGAATTCCTATTGTTTACGGTTAACCTGAAGCGGGCGATACAATGAACATGGTTATGCCATGTCACATACGTTTCTGAAGCCGTTGTTCAAGATCGGCAATAGCGCCAGAGTCCCGAAGCTGTTGGATCTCAGCGCGGGTGGTGGGGTCCTGCGACGTTAGAATGGATCTGAAGCTTTCGGGGTCGGAGATATAAATATCGATGTCTACGTACTTGGTCCCACTCCAACCATTTTTGAATCAGTGGAGAAAGAGAGTCCTAGCCTGATTAGAAATGCAAGAGATTCGTATGGAAGGGAGGGACTACCATTATCGAACACGAAAGGTGATCATAAGATCTATTCTGAAAGAGGTAGGAGCAGGCAGCACCGAATAATCGAGGAGGATGCGGAAAAGGTGGAATGTTAGTGGACTGATTTAAAACAAAGATGGGGTGACGATCGACGCCGCGTTTCCAATTGCTCGACGAGCCCACCGCTTCCCGCGACGAGACCCTCTCTCTGCGGCAGCCCTTCCACCACTAACTACTAGCACTTCCCACTCCTTCTGATCCCTTGCTACCGTTTCCCCTTCTTTTCTTTTTCTTTTTCTTTTTTTTTTCTTCTTCTTGTTTTTCTTCCTTCCTTACCTACGCAGGCCGTACGATGCTGACCCGAACTGCCTTACTCTACCGCGACTGAGCTGGATACGATCGTTCCCTAATTACCATGGCCGACGCTCTCAAGGCTGCCGCAACATCTGCATCCACGTCGAGGAAGGATGCCATCTTGTCACGACGGTGGATCGAAGGTCAGATAGCCGAAGGCAAGCATGTTCTTGTCTACGACGGCCGCGTTTTGAAAGTCGACGCATGGATCAAATTCCATCCGGGTGGTGACAAGTCGATCAAGCATATGGTGGGAAAAGATGCGACGGATGAGATCAATGCGTATGTGCTTCGGACATGCCGGAAAGCCTTCCTGGGTTACTGACAACCGCTCGGACAGGTTACATTCAAAGGAAGCGCGCCAGCGGATGTTGTCCTTCCAGATCGGACGCATCCAGGGTCCGTGGTTAAACTTCCTCCCACCGATTCAGGGCGGGAAGTTCCGCCCATATACCGAGGCAACTTGCACGTCAGATGAAGACAGTTCTAGTCAGGACATGTCTACACCGCCGTCTCCGATTTTTGATTCAGTCGACGCTAAGTCCGGCCTCCGCCGGCGAAAGTCTGTTTCCTCGGATACGTCCGTTTCCACCTCAGCTACCCCAGAGTTTGAGCCAAAGCCATTCTTCCTCGACGCTCGAACCCAGGAAGAGATCGTCCTTGATGTTGCCAAGTACCCGTCATTGGATACCGAAAGCCAGGAGAATATCAAGAAGCAATATCGTGCGTTAGACCAGCGGATTCGCGATGAAGGCCTATACGACTGCAACTATTTCGCTTACTTCATCGAATGCTGCCGCTATACGCTCTTTGCGGCTCTGTCTTACCTATTCCTCCGGTTGGGTTGGTATGCCACCTCGGGATTCTTTTTGGGATGCTTCTGGCACCAGCTCGTCTTTACCGCCCATGATTCAGGCCATATGGGCATTACCCATCATTTCCACGTCGATAGTGTGATTGGCATCATCATCGCCGACTACCTTGGAGGTCTAAGCCTAGGATGGTGGAAGCGCAACCACAATGTCCACCATATTGTGACCAATGCACCTGAGCATGACCCCGATATCGAACACATGCCCTTCTTTGCCATCTCTCACCGTTTCCTCACCAGTCTCCGCAGCACGTACTATGAACGTATTATGACGTTTGACGCTTTTGCCAACTTCATGCTGCGCTATCAGAACTACCTTTACTATCCGATCCTCTTGTTTGGTCGCTTCAACCTGTATCGCCTGAGCTGGGTATATCTGCTGTGCGGTCAAGCGCCGAAAAAAGGCCCCGCTTGGTGGCACCGGTGGTTCGAGATGGGGGGCCAAGTCTTCTTCTGGTATTGGTTTGGGTACGGTGTGGTGTACCGTAGTATTCCCGACTGGAGTAGCCGTCTGATATTCATTTTGGTCTCGCACATGGTTACCGCCCCGTTACACGTGCAGATCACTCTCTCCCATTTTGCCATGTCGACGGCCGACCTGGGTGTCCACGAGTCCTTCCCCCAGAAGATGCTTCGCACCACCATGGATGTTGACTGCCCAACCTGGCTCGACTTCTTCCACGGCGGTCTGCAGTTTCAGGCCATTCACCACCTGTACCCACGCATCCCACGCCACAACCTGCGTCGTACCCAGAAGTTGGTCATGGAATTCTGCCGTGACACTGGCATCCCGTATGCCGTCTTCACCTTCTACGATGGCAACAAAGAGGTTATCGGAAAGCTTGGTGATGTCGCGAAGCAGGTCCGTATTCTTGACGAATGCCGGAAGTCTTGCGCCCAGCAGGGCGTCTTCTCAGACCACCACTAGATGGCCACCCTGATTTTCAAAATGCGTACCGCCCCACTGATTTACCGTGGACTCTGCGATCAACTGCATACTCTGGCCCCGTGTATATATTGCACAGTTGTATATAATCATGCCTGCGGACTGTCTTGGGGTAAGGGTATCGGCCACAATTGCAAGATTTGATGTCGACAGACTCGTAATGCCCTATTGATGATGTGATAATGTCCCTCAGTTTGACGTCGGTTGTTATTTATATGTATGAGTTTCCACTTAGAGAGTAGAATCATAATCATACTATATGACTTACAAATCCACATTACCTTACATATTCTGGTTCAGAGTTCCGCTTTCTATATTCAATAAGACCCATCATCCAGGGTCTTTTAACTAATGCAGTATGTACATAAACCACGAGACTCTATGGTCATCATCACAGCATGATTGAAAATCACCATCCATCAGCTAGCATTACCCCATCATACCCCCAGCCCGCGCCACCTTCTTCGCCCTCTGCTGTCGACGATTATGATTCGCCCTACTGCCCTTATTCTCCTCCTTCCTCTGCCGCTGCGCAGCCGTATTCCCGTCACCGGAGCCACCTCCTGCATTACCACCACGCCCGCGTCCAGCACCACCACCACCACCTCGTCGACCACCACGACCGCGCCCCCTACCGGGCCCCCCTCTACCACGAGACCCAGAGCCAACCGGCTCATCAGTCTCACTGCCTGACTCCCCATCGCCCCTAGGTCCAGGCCTCCGATAAGCCGTCGGCTTAATCTCCGGCTGCATAAGACCCGTCCCACCAGGCCCGACCTCCGAAAGCGATAACCGATCCTCCAACTTCGCCAACCGCTTCGAATCGCGCGCCAGCATAACAGCCCACCCCTCAATCGCCTCATCCGTCATGCCCGTCTCGCGCTTCAGCGAAGCTCGTGGCTGCGACCGACGGGTCGCCGAGTCCCGAGCAAACAGCGCCGGCGTAGCCTTGTACGTCCGGAACAGCGTGAGATCGAGCTCGTCCGCTTTGTGTTTCGCATCGGCGTCTGTGTCAGTGGTGGTGGCGTCGACGGTGCCGCCTACGTCTGCTACGTCGTATGTATCGTCGCGTTCGTCATCGTCCGAGTCGAAGCTCGCCAGCGCAGACATGATGGCCGCTTTGTTGACGGCGTGTTTGCTGCGATCGGCGAGGATGTCATCGGCTGTTTGGTCTGGATTTGCGCGGCCGAAGCGCACTTTGTCTGTCTCGGCGAGGTCGGCTAGATCGACGTCTTTGTCGAAGATGTTTTTGCGGGGTTGAGTCGGGGGAGAGATTTCTGGGGGTGTTGGGCGGGGAGGGAAGGGGTCGTGCTTGGGGGCAGGGGAATCGGTAGTGGGAAGTTGTTCTGATTTATCAAGGTCCCGGAGTTCAGGGGGGATAGAGTCATCCAGGAGATGTGCGATGACGGTCTCCGGGTTATCGTCGTAGATATCGAGTAGGCGGACGATGTACCCCGATCCCAGGTCGGGGAAGAGGTCCTGGATCTGCGTGATGAGCGACATTCGGTGAATGTGCATGTCTTCTGCTGGGGGGAGATCTGTGGTGGCGCGGCCTTTGCCTTTATCGGATCTTTTCTTTTGTTTCTGGTAGCGGTGGTGGAATACATTCGATTCGGTCTGGTATGCGCGTAGACTGGAGAGGAGGTCCTGGCCGCGTTTCTGTGGGTGCGAGATTAGGTACCGGTCCAGGCGGACGAGGAGATCGGAGCTGCAGATTAGGTCGGAGAGGAGGGTGGGCTCCTTCTTTGTTGTGGGCGCATTGATCCCTGCGCTGGCCTTTAGGCTGAAGAGCTGGTCCAGAAGTAGGGAGAGGTTTGGTTTGGGGCCTTTTAGTAGAGATGTAAGGCCGACGTAGACAATGGCGACTAGTACTTTGCGGAGCTCGTCCCTCTTGTGTGCTTGGTATGCTTCGCAGCATGTGTCCAGGAAGTCGGAGCCGGCCATCAGTGCCTGGCCGCATGCGGGGAGGACAGAGCCCAGGATGGTTAATAGGCGAATGTCAGGGATGGTCTTGGGGACTTGTGCGGAGCTTGACATAGACAGCTGTTTCGTCATGGTTGTCTTTGCCTTCTCGAGGCTCGATGATATAGTCTCTTCATGCTTGTCCCAAGCTTCGGACAGTAATTTCTTCAGTGCAGAGCTGGAGGGATAGCAACTGCACATGTTACCCAGGTACTTCCATTCTAGTAGATCCGGTGGGGAGGTGGGCGCGTCCAACAAGAGTCGTCTTGTGAGCAAGAAACATAGCTTCCGTAGTGTTCTTACTTTCGACCCCGTATGCAAACCCGGCGTACCAGCACTTGCCAGCTGATCATAGAATGAAGTCAAGAAGGTGACTGCGGAGTCATCTGTGGGTGCATGTTCTGCGAATTTCGCATCGGATGACTCTATGCGCAAGCTCAGAAGCAAAATCCACGCATCTATATAGAGCTCCCATTCCTGGGGGGGTATGGCACTCTGCACCGCGGGGGGTGGAACTGGTGCCAGAGGAGGCCAATTTGCCATGACACAGCGATTCTACAAGGATAACGATGCAGTAAGAAGAAGTATCCTTGGGAATCAAAGTTCAAAATGAAATTAAGAAAACAGAAGCCAAGAATATATCATCATCATTAAGCTTGACCAGACCAGACAATCAGCCCCATATTCTTTATCGCATTTATCAGATGGCATGTCATTGGTGGTCTGCTGACTCAGCCACCGCGGGGGCCCGATCCGGTTAGCACCAGATAGGCGAGCGCCAAGCCACCGCACCCGCACAAGCGGCGCTAAGCGCACTATGGAAAAAAAAGCGAAAGAATTCACGATAATAATAATCGCATATCGCCAGAGCTATTCCAACAGCCATCATCACCTTACCGAACCTTGAAGTTCAGGTCTTGATTGGCAACTAGCCTTACTTTGCGGTAGGTCCCCCCCACTCTCACATTTATCTCTTTTTCCTTCTTCCCCTTCTTGCAACTAACCCGTCGACTTTCTAGCCATCTCAATCCCGGTCTCCCCACCGCAAACCAACCGTCAAGATGTCTTTCCAGAAGCCCGAGAAGGATTTCGGCGAGGGCCCTGTACGTTGACCCAACAGCTCTCCAATCCCAAGTTCATCTCACGATGAAGATGACGGACGATGGGTGGAAGAGACGCTCCAAGACAATGCGCCAGCCATACTAACAGCCCTCAACAGAAGGTCCACAAGATCCGTATCACCCTTACCTCTCGCAAGGTCGCCTCCCTCGAGAAGGTTTGCTCTGAGCTGATCGACCGTGCCCGCTCCAAGTCCCTCCACGTCAAGGGTCCCGTCCGTCTTCCCACCAAGACCCTTCACATCTCCACCCGTAAGACCCCCAACGGTGAGGGTTCTAAGACCTGGGACAAGTACGAGATGCGCATCCACAAGCGTCTCATCGAGTATGTTGCACTTTTTGTACCCCTGTGACTGAAGAAGCGGCCACTAACGATGTGCTTTAGCCTCCTCGCCCCCACTGAGACTGTTAAGCAGATCATCATCAACATCGAGGCTGGTGTTGAGGTTGAGGTCACCATTGCCGCTTAAATTTACCCTAAAATGTTCTAGTTCAGTTCAGGGAGGGAGTGATATCCGCTCTTGACTGGGGTGGGCGAGTTTGGTGCATGCTGGGCTTTCGTCGATACCCGCTAGAATCTGGCATAAAAATGGAAAAGTTTGTGGAAAAGTATTCTTTGGTGCTGTGTAAGCTGGTCGTAGAACGTAGGGAACGTTAGGAACATGTAGAACCGTAGAATGTGTACGATTTGAGGTAGGAGTTGTAGTTCAATGTTGCTTGGTAATCCAGCTCACTGGTTGGCTGGCTGACTGAAGGCGATTGGCCCTTCATGTGATCATCATATTAAAAGAGAAGAACTATATACTACAGGGTTCGTGAAGCGCATATCGAAAAAGAAAAAACCATGGTATCCTCAATGTTTTCCAGGCCTAAAAGTCGAAGCTCACCCATTCTGTCTTCGGTGGCACGCTTGGGATGACGCCGTCCTTGAAGTATCCGTTTTTAACAAAGAACTCATACTGTTCCGTGACCTCAGGGGTATACTCTTCCGGTTTTCCTGTTGCATCTCTCAAGCTCGCCTGGTCGGGAGGCCCATCCGGGAAGAAGATGCGAACGTATGTTTGGCGGTCTTGAGGATGCAGATAACACGGGTTGTTGTCAATATACTTGACGGGCTGTCCTTTCCATGTGGACAGTCTCTTGGTCATAGGGTCTCGGATCGTCTGGCCAGACAAGGGTGGAATGGGACTAAGCTGATTCGGATCCTCAACCTTGATAATGCCAGGAGGGCCAGTGCCTGCTGTAGCGGTAGGAGCTGGTGGTTGTTGTTGGGCGGGCTGTGCGAAGCCGGCCGCTGGTTGGCCAAAGGGAGACGGAGCAGCCTGTGCTTGTTGCTGTTGTGGTTGACTGGGAGCCCCGAAAGGATTTGGTGCGGTGGATGGTTGTCCAAATGGATTGGATGATGGCTGGGGTTGGGGCTGGCCAAATGGGGATGGTGTTTGCGCGGGCTGACCGAAGCCGCCCGATGTTGCTGGGGTTGTTGATGGCTGTCCAAATCCAGAAGCTGCTGCAGGTTGTTGGCTAGCAGCCTGTGCGAACGGAGACGTAGCTGACGCAGCTTGGCCAAAACCGACACCTGCGCTCTGATTTTGGTTTGATATTGCACCAAAAGGAGACGCGTTGGTAGGTGCGCCGAACGATGAGCCTCCTAACGACGAAGGTTGCCCGAACGCTGATGGTTGACCGAATGCAGGCTGACCCTGGTTCGGCTGGCCTAAACTGGGCTGCCCAAACGCTGGTTTACCAAAAGCAGGTTGTCCTCCACCTAGCCCCGAAGGCTTACCAAAGGCTGATCCCGAAGCCAATGCACTTGGTTGTCCAAAACCAGAGCTCTGCCCCAACGTAGATGGTTGACCAAATCCTGATGGTTGGCCCAAGGCCGATGGTTGACCGAACCCAGAGGGCTTGCCAAAGGCTGATCCCGAACCCAGTGTACTTGGTTGTCCAAAACCAGAGCTCTGGCCCATTGTCGACGGTTGACCAAAACCTGATGCCTGATTGCTAGCAGCTGGCTGACCGAATGCTGAGGGTTGGCCAAATGGAGATGGCCCTTGACTAGACGCAGGACCCGTCTTGCCTTCTGTAATATCAATTCTATTTGGATGCTCATTAATACCATCGACGATGTATTTCACGGCACCGCCAAGGTCGCTCAATATGACATCCATCTGCTTCAGTGCCTCTGCGTACAAAGCCTGAGCCTCTTGGACTGCCTGCTCCGCATTCCCTGCAGCAGCAGCTTCATAGTGACGCAGCCGCAGCTCTTCGAAAGATTGCTCCCGCTGGACACCCCCAAACAATTGCTTTGGGGCGTTTTTACCAGGACCATAACAAGAAAAGACCCATTCTGGACGGCCTTTACCAGCGGTTAGGTCGATTTTGATATCATCTGCTGTGACACCATAGCTTTGCTTGCGTCAGTGGGGGGATTTCCTCTTGCCAGAAGTGCATCACTTACTTTGCTGGCTGCTGGTTCTGTTGCGCAGAACGACCTGTACAAGAGTTAGATACAGAGTATACACGATAGACCGTCGCAAAACGCGAATTAGAAAAGTGCTCGTTAAGGCCAGTTCCAATAAGTACTCCGGACAGTGGGTAGAGTAATTAACATTCCTCAAGTAAAGACCATGTAGCTCACAGTATCCCTAGAGGAACTTGTGACAAATGTCTATGCACTGAGATGGGAACACGAAGCATTCAGAGGTTTCAGAATAGGGACAACAAGGGTGCAAAAGAGAATAAATCAAAAGGAAGGCATACCTCCAAAGCCGCCTCCACCGCCACCTCCTCCTCCAGACAGGACTCCAAAACGGTTCCCTGAGCCTAAACTTGATTGGCCGGGGTGCTCAAATTTGCAGCGTTCTAATTCAATGGTCAGTAAATCGTCCACCAACAGTTTGGAAGTAGGAAAGAAAAGACTGAGATTCGAAGGGGGTAACTCTACCTCCAAATCTACAGCGGCCTTGCTGGAAGAAGCTGCAGACCACCATTTTGCTTTCCTTTCTGATATCGGACTTGACTGGAGATCAAAGTTCCCTGCTGGACTTTTGCAACGGGGTTCTCCCGATCGAGAATGACGCTTGACGGGATATCAGCAGGTCAAGTTCATTATCTAGCATATATTCGCGATCAATCCCCGGAGTGCACAATGAGAGTGGAAGATCCTTGTTGATGAGCTGCCAGCGAATGAAGTTGTTGTTCATCAGTCTGAAGTTTATGCCGGTGACAATACATTTCACCCAGTCGGAGTGCTTCCTGGCCTGCGCATACCCTGGCCGAAGTACGGCTCCGGTATTGGTAAATTACATTATCAATTCTACGAAATCGCCAAACATTCGCCATTTAGGGATTCCTATGAAGACTGTTTTGATTTTATATCAATCTTTGATATCCTGATGCGGTGCTGTGTTAAGTACTAATATTACAAAGCGAATTTACGAAGGCTCCAAATGCAAACTCCAAATTCTCCAATCTCCAAACCGGATCCGTAAGTACTGAAATCGTGTCGCATTTCCAATAGTGCTGCGAGCTCATTTCACGAAACTTGGCCATTGCAGTAGAGCTACTATGTCTGCGATGGTTGAATACCTTGTCTGAGAATGTCCCAGTTCAGACCATCGACCTTCTTGCCGCCCAAGGACTCGAGATCGGCAGACAAGTTTTCTAACTTCCCTGTCGCAAGACGGCGCATCATGACGGTGTCCTTAGCGCCATGCAACCCCTTTGCATTTCCACGGAGAAGACAGTCCTCGAACCACCCCTCTTCCTGGTCATCGAAGGGAAGACCAATCAATTCCATAGCGCGCTTGCTCCGGGTCTCGCCCGCTTCGGTCGAGTGCACGAATTCAATGAGCTGCGCAAGGTAATTCTGGCGAAGCGAGTCGTCATAGTTTCGGGTAAAGTAAAAGGCCTCCGTAATACTGGAGCGACAAAGGGTTCTGAAGAATGCTTTCTGGACCTTTGTGGATGCCAGTGGTGGGCTTACGGTGAGATAATATGCCATTACGAGGCTGTCATCGTGCTTGGGAAGCTGTGGGAGGGTGAGAACGTAAAGGATTTCATCGGGAAATGTTGGAATGATGGAGGGTTCGGTCAAATATTCGATAGCGCGCTAGATTGACCGACGGCGTTAGCAAGCAAGCTATCATGGATCGCATGCCCGGTCTCCTCAACGTACCCTGAATTCTAACCTGTCCAGGTTCCAAAGCCCTTCAATGAAGAGACGGTACTTTTCAGGTAGATGGAATCGCCGCGAAAATTGTGAAGCATAGTCATTGGCTGCCCGGCAGTCCTTCAAAAGGTAGTAGATCAAGGCCTGCTTGTGATGGATATCCAGTGGGGATGATACGATGTGCCCGAAAAGGGTTCGGAGGTCTGCGTTGGACTTTGGAGGGTATACTTTCGTGACTATATAGTTATGCTGGTCAGGAACCTTGTACATCATCATCAATGTTTGATCGATATTACCTGCTTTCACGCCGAGCAGTCCTAGGAGTCTGTCGGCGAACAGCTGGTTCTCCAAAGCCCGGCGGTTGGACAGAATCTGTTCAATGACCTTGCCATCATACACAAAGTTCTTGTTGAAGGAGAAAACACTGTCGAAATCTTCCCAAGGCGCCATTTTGGGCCGCGCCACAATCTTGGATAGCTGAGAGGCCTTTTTGATATAAATGCTAAAGATTACTCTTATCGTGTTGAGCCGTACCATGGTTACAATACATACGGATGACATAATACGGGCGGTGGCGGCCAGAAGTGTTGTGGCAGAAAAACAAGGCTTTTCCTCTTTGGGCGACAATGTAAACAACCCACTTCCACCCACCTGCGCTTTTTCAACCAGCCGGTAACATCGCGACATTGTCCCCATTCACACTCGCCTTCATGAGGCCCTCCTTTGCGGACCGTACCACAACAGCATAATGTCGTCAATCGCAAGAGGCAGGCCATCCCGGCGCTCTGCTCGAAGAAGCTATGTCATGTCGGAAACATCTGAAGAGGAAGATCCCGGAAATGTGACCCCCACACCGTCTCAGCATGATGATGAAGAGGAGAATGAAGACGATTACACACCAGTTCCAAAGAAACCAAGCACAAGGAGACGGACTAGTAGGCGTACGACAGCCGATGCGCCTGCACCTACGCCTAGCACCGCACGCCCAGCAAAAAGGCCCCGCAGGTCGACAACCCCGGAGCAGGAGGAGGCTTCGCAAGTTGGTGAATCGAACGACGAAGGGAGTAGTGTTGCATCTGTACAAGAGCCTGAATCGCCTTCACAGAATGTGGCGGCGACGAAACGAAGGAGTATGTCATCCCGCAAGAGTCGTGACTCCACGACGCCCAAACCGGAACGGTCCTCAGTCGAACCGTCTGTGCCACCCCAGTCCCAAGCCCGCTCTCAGAGAGGCAGCGTGCCACCGCTCAACGATATCACCGAATCCGCAGTGAACAAGTCACCTTCGCCCGAGGACACAAAGTCGCAAGTTTCGATCATTAATCCCAATTCGACCATCCTCGAAAAGCCGATGGATATCATGATGAAGGCGCGCAACTTGGCTCCTCCGACAATACCTGAGGAACCATCAGGACCGAAGAGTCGCATGGTCATCAAGACTTTAATCCTTAACAACTTTAAAAGTTACGCAGGGAAACAGATCGTCGGACCCTTCCACGCTTCTTTTTCCTCAGTTGTTGGTCCAAATGGTTCCGGAAAATCCAATGTGATTGATGCGTTGCTATTCGTGTTTGGCTTCCGAGCCAGCAAAATGCGACAAGGCAAAATCTCCGCCCTGATTCATAACTCTGCTGATTTTCCAGATCTGCCCTTCTGCGAAGTTGAGGTTCATTTCCAAGAGGTCCTCGATCTGCCAGACGGAACACACGAAATAGTCCCAGATTCCCAACTGCTTATCTCTCGAAAGGCGTTTAAAAACAACACTAGCAAATATTACATGAATGGCAAGGAAACAAACTTTACTGCCGTGACGACCTTGCTCCGTGACCGAGGAATCGACCTCGACCATAAGCGATTCCTGATTCTCCAGGGTGAAGTCGAGTCCATTGCCCAGATGAAGGCAAAGGCCGGCAATGAACATGAGGACGGGCTTCTCGAATATCTTGAAGACATTATCGGAACTTCGAAATACAAGGCCCCCATTGACGAAGCGGCCGCCGAACTAGAAACGCTCAACGACGTCTGTGTTGAGAAGAACAACCGTGTGCAGCACGTGGAGAAGGAAAGGAATTCTCTAGAGGACAAGAAAGATAAAGCTCTTTCCTACCTCAATGACGAAAATGAGCTCACCCAGAAGCAGTCGGCGCTGTATCAGATTTACATTGAGGAATGTGCCGATAACATCCGCGTCACGGAAGAGGCCATCCTCCAAATGCAGGAACTGTTGAACATGGAACTTGAGAAGCACGAAGGCAATGAATCCGGGATCAAGGAGCTTGAGAAAGCTTACAAGCGCGGCATGCGTGAATACGAAAACATGGAGAAGGAAGTACAAGCTTTGGCAAAAGAAATGGCAAAGTACGACAAGGAGTCCGTCAAATTTGAGGAAAAGAAGAAGTTCTTGGTTGGTAAACAAAAGAAGCTGGAGAAGACGATGCAAACTGCTCGTTTGGCTGCTTCTGAATGTGAAAGCTTGGTTGAGAAACATACTAGTGATATCACCAAGAAGACCAAAGAAACGACGGATCTAGAGAAAGAGCTGAGAGGGGAAGAGGATGAATTGTCGGCAATCCGTGAAAGCTTAAAGGGCAAAACCCAGGGTCTTTCGGATAAGATCACGGCCAAACAGAAGTCACTTGAACCATGGGATGAAAAGATCAACAAAAAAGTCTCCGCTGTTGCAGTGGCACAAAGTGAGCTTGACATTCTCCGAGAGAGAAGCAATGCCGGTGCTGTACTCCTGGAGGAAGCACAGAGCAAGGTTTCATCTATCGAGGAAACGCTAGCCGCCAAGGAAACCGATCTTGAGGAACGGAAAGAACAAAAGGCCGTTCTTGAGGAAGAGGTCGCGAAGCTAAAGCACGACCTCAAAAAGTATGCCCACAGGGAGCCAGATGTTCGCGCTCATGTCTCCAGCGCCCGGCAAAAAGCCGACGAAGCAAGAGCTAGCCTTGCAAGCACGCAAAACCGTGGCAGCGTACTGTCCGGCCTCATGCGTCTCAAGGAATCTGGCCGTATCGAAGGGTTCCATGGACGACTCGGAAACCTCGGGACAATCGATGAGAAATATGACGTGGCTATATCCACGGCTTGTCCAGCGTTGGAAAATATGGTGGTAGACACAGTCGAGGTTGGTCAACAATGCATCGACTATCTGCGGAAGAACAACCTTGGCCGAGCCAACTTTATACTTCTAGATCGTCTTCCACGACGGGATATGTCAGGGGTATTCACCCCGGAGAGTGTCCCACGTCTATTTGATCTCGTGAAGCCCAAGGATCCGAAATTTGCTCCTGCCTTCTACAGCGTGATGCAGAATACTCTTGTCGCCAAGGACCTAGAGCAAGCCAATCGCATTGCCTACGGTGCCAGACGATGGAGAGTAGTGACCCTTGATGGGCAGCTCATCGATACGTCCGGTACCATGAGTGGTGGTGGTACCCGTGTTGCCCGTGGTGCAATGTCATCGAAGCAGGTCGCGGACACCAGCAAAGAGCAGGTTGCAAGGCTCGAAGGCGACCTCGAGGAAATGGAAAGGAAGTTCCAGGCTTTCCAGGAGAAGCAAAGACATATTGAGGCGGCGATGAGAGAGAAGTCCGAGGAAATCCCCCGTGTCGAGACGAAGATTCAGAAGATCTTAATCGAGATTGAAAGTACCAACCGTAGTCTCGCAGATGCCCAGCGGCGCGTGAAGGAGTTGAGTGCTGCTCACAAGCCATCCAAGACAGATGCAGCCCAGGCTGCAGCTCTAGAGAAGCAGATCGCTTCTCTCGAAGAGGAAATTGAAGATCTCCGTTCACAGAAGGGAGGCATTGAAGAAGAGATTCAAACTCTACAGAACAAGATCATGGAGGTTGGTGGTGTAAGATTGCGTGGTCAGAAGGCTAGAGTCGACGGTCTGAAAGAGCAGATCGGCATGCTTGCCGAAGAGATCTCAAATGCGGAAGTCGGGAAGTCTAAGAACGAGAAGCTTATAGCCAAACATCAAAAAACACGTGGAGATGCTGAAGAGGAGCTCGAGCATGTTACCGCGGACCTTGACAGGCTGAATGAGGATGTCTCCAACCAGGCTAACGATGCATCTGGCTGGAAACAAAAGGTAGAGGAAGCACAAGAGGCCCTCGAATCGAAGAAGGGCGACCTCAAGACCGTGAAGGCAGAGTTGGATGAGAAGGTGGCCGAATTAAACGAATCTCGGGCCACAGAAATCGAAATGCGCAATAAACTTGAGGAGAATCAAAAGGCTTTGGCAGAGAATGAAAAGCGCGGGCGCTACTGGCACGAGAAGCTCTCCAAGTTGTCATTGCAGAATGTGAGCGACCTTGGAAATGAGGAAGCACCTGCAGAGCTGCAAACTTATACCAAGGATGAGTTGTTGGAGATGAACAAGGAGTCTTTGAAAGCTACTATTGCAGCTTTGGAAGAGAAGACGCAGAACTCACCTGTTGACCTCTCTGTGATCGAAGAGTACCGTCGCCGATCAGCTGAACACGAAGCGCGCTCAGCGGATCTCAATACTGCCCTTGCATCTCGTGACAGTGCTAAAGCCCGTCTTGACGGCCTTCGATCTGCTCGCTTGAATGGATTCATGGAAGGCTTCAGCATCATCTCACTCCGCCTGAAGGAGATGTACCAGATGATTACGATGGGTGGTAATGCAGAGCTAGAACTAGTGGATTCTTTAGATCCTTTCTCTGAAGGTATCTTGTTCTCCGTCATGCCTCCGAAGAAGAGCTGGAAGAACATTGGCAACTTGTCCGGTGGTGAGAAGACACTGTCTAGTTTGGCCCTGGTTTTCGCCTTGCACCATTACAAGCCTACGCCGCTGTACGTCATGGACGAAATCGATGCCGCCTTGGATTTCAGAAACGTAGGTGCACCCCATTGTCTCTCGACAGCACAAGCAACTAACCCAAGTGTTCCAGGTCTCCATCGTGGCTTCATACATCAAAGAGAGGACAAAGAACGCGCAATTCATTGTTATCTCCTTGAGAAACAACATGGTAAGCTCCTCAACCTGGTGGGCTGCTCTTGGATATCGCTAACGGATAGTAGTTCGAACTTGCATCGCGCCTGGTCGGTGTCTACAAGGTCAACCATAAGACGAAGAGCGTGACCATCGAGAACAAGGACTATATCAAGAGACAGTAATGAATGCAGAACATAGGGTGCTTGTTGTTTTTCGCTGCTTTCTCAACGAATGTTTATGAGCCGGAAATGGATTGGAATATGTTGTGGTTCATGTTTGTTCGGTGTGATGGGTTTCTGCAAGTATTTTTGATTCTTTTATGATGTCCACGGATACCGACAAAGATTTTGGGATAGGTCACTTCTATTCGGTTGAACATGTTCTTCATTGTGTTCTACAGTATATAATTTTCTCATGACGGATGGATATCTCTGCGACTTACGTCTAGTTTACCATCAGTTTGAATCTTCAGATCGATTAATTGATCACATCTCTATCGGTCAACCCTTAAACACGACATCTCTATGATGCATACCTTAAACACTCACTTGCATGCACTGGCATGCTCTTAGCCATAGAAGACGGGGAGGAGAGCGATCACCTATAGAGTTGGAGAAAAGCAAGGTACGAAGCACAATGGTATATAAGGACGCCACCTACGCACTAGCCAACGATGGCCGACTAAACGCTAACCTTGGGAGACAGTTATACTTCTCGGAAAGACGCCAGTAGGTTTCTACCACCATCGTATCGTAGATATAGAACGGGAGTGATACTGTCTTTTGCGATGCGGTCTGCTACAATACTAGCACAACGTGTATATATAAACTTATATAAAATATTTCTACTAGTAGTATATTATATCATCGACTTAAACTCACATTGGGCTTGGATCCTAGAGTCTTTCATGTCGCCGTAGAATGGGATATTCTCTGTCCCCATTGTGGAATGCTTTTGCGGGTACTAATATATTCCCAGGCTTTCCTCGGTGGAATATTGAATAGAATGGCTGAATTCATGAGCAAATCATTGGGGGATGTTCCAGCCAGTATCGAGGCAATGATATTCTAGATCGATCCTCGATTACGATAGTACTCGAGATTTATCAATTCGATATCTCTTCTTACATAGAGCAAGTCTACGGATACATACTTCTCGATTAAATCATAGTGTTTGATTCAAACCCAGAGAAAGGGCCCTGTTGAGATAGAATACATACAAGCATGTCAAATGTCGCGCGAGCGTTTCGTTCATCGCTTTCGTAACCGACATTCATATCATGAACCAAGTGCTTGCCAGCCTCGTCCTCTCCCTTGATATTATTAAAAAATATAAGTAGTAAAGTGCGTATTCGAAGTTGAAAGGGAATCGAGCAAAACTAGATCATTTGTTCACCCACGCTTGGAAAGAAGAAGTAAAGAAACTGGATAGAGGTATGTTGCCCAAAATAAACCGAAACTCCGCTTCCATCTTAAAAGGCGCCGTAGTCTATGTCGAATCCGTCCGTCAATGTCACAAAGGCTAAGAAATGAAAGAACAAAAGAAAAAGCACAAAAACAGGTCATTGTCATTGACCGTCATTCATGAAGCAATATCCACTCGGTTATAATGGGATATTGTAAAGATGCACGTGGAACCGTGATCTGTTATGTAAAGGAGTTTGATAGCGACCATCAATGTGGGTTATGCAACAACTGATCGGCGTGGCGCGATAGGGATAGGTTTGGGACCCGAAGATATATCAAGTGTCGACATCCCAAGGTCGCTATCTTCGTATTTCTGCGACGTCTTCGGTTTATTGCCAGTCGCGATCGAAGACCGTCGCGTTTCCTCGCCGTCACGTATCGTACTGCAGACGAATCGTTCTTCGGAAATGGGGTCGGCTCCGAACATCGAGCCTAACTGTTGCAAGAGAGCGACAAAGTTTGCGTGAATTTCTGCAAAGATGTACTGGTTGCCCACAATCTCGCTGAGATTCCTTGCCTTCACCTGGCCAGGGCGGCGAAGCTGACCATCTGGATCAAGGGCGCGGCCGGTGAGGAAGGAAGAGACTGGGGTGTACTGTCTATTGTTCGTTCGATCGGGTCCTCGATTCTGCTCTTCACGACGCTTTTCTTCCTCCTGATATTTCTCAGCCGATTTGACGATTCCCGCTGAGATTCGGCCGAAAGCGCGCCATATCACCGGACAAGCACGGAACGCCCTGCCGGTGTCTTTGCCGGCCAGGGCAACCAATGCGTAGCTGCGCCGTTTCCCGCGTGCCATCGGGTCCGGAAGGCGAAAGACAAATGCGATCGTATACCCTGCAGAGGAGTCGCCAAAGCATAAGGGACCGGAGGAAGCACCTTGCGGGAGGAGTTCACAACTCAAGGTTCGAATGGAAGAACGTCGGAGAAGAGCATAATCTGCTGGGTTTGGAGGGCCTCGTAGCGAAAGATAGGTGAGAATATGTGTGTGGCAAGAGGCATCGGATGCAACTGAGGAGGAATGTAAAGACTCAGGGTAGGAGGCGTGTCCATGCGGGTCGTGTGCACCGTCTTCAGTTTCGGGGTGACTTGAGCCGCAAGAGTAGACGACCTCTCTCGAGCGCAAAACGGGACTCCCGTTTTTCCCTTTACCATCGCTCTTAGGCGTACCGGGAGCGCCGGGAGGGAGCTGCTTGCTCACATCGTCGGGCAATGTCAAGCTACAGCTTGCGCAGGTATCGCCTTCTGCGCCTCCGAGTGGATTCAATCTCTGCTGGGCGTCTGCTGGATTGGCCTGCGGCTTGATGAAGTAGGGGTGATCCTCGATTTTTTCCAAGTCGGCTTTGCCGGGAAGTTTTCCGGGAAGTTTGGATGAATTGGAGTCCTTGCCATAAATGGGGCTCTGTAGATGAGAAGATATCGTGTCATGAGAAGTTGCAGGGGTGTCGTCGGGAGAGAAATCGGATCTGTCTGGGTAGCATTGCGAGCAGGAGAATGGCAAGACCTGCGAGCAGATGATCGAGGTGGGACCATGCACCTCGCAGAAATGCGTCAAGGAGAGCTAGTGGACGAACAGTTAGTTTCGGACAAGTAACTCTCCGAGAAATACGAGCAGATGTTGGAGACCCCCACGGCGAGAGGGAGGCGAACAATGATGAGATCATCATTCTGGAGAGGCCCCATGCGACCATGGTGCGCTCAACACATGAATTGGGTGACAGGCCAATTCATAGAAGGTAGAAAGCATCCATGGAAAAATTGGGTAACAGTGATAATACACATTGTTACGTTCGATGCGATAGAGCGCAGGGGACGGATGGGATAGTAAGGGCGATAGCGTTGTGCGTCCAAGCCGGAAAATATAGTTCAGACTTACAATGAAATCCATATCCACGAGTATTAACGTCTAGCAGTATCCAACAACCATATTAGACCATTATTTCGATACATGCTTTCCGAGAATGAAGAACCAAGTGGCGAAGATCGTGGTTGTCGCAACGACGCAGGGTCGAACACTGCAGTCAGACTGAGAGAGAGCGAGTGCGGAATGTATGTAGGGTCGAATCTGGCTGGACCGGGGGGTTTTCCAGACCAAAGCAAGTCAAAATTCGAGAGCGAGAGAGAGAGTGTTAGCTGCAAACCCGACTCGACACCCTCGTCGTCGCTGGGGAAAGGGCTGCAAAGGCCAGCTTGCAGACCAAGAAACTGGACGTAAAGGAAGGAAAGAAACGAAGGGCGAGGAGGCGAATATTAAAGATGAAAGAACCGACGAGTCTACTTTTCCACTGGCAGGATCGTTACTATGCAAGATTAATGGATCAAAAGGAAGGGGGGGGTGGAAAGACTCCCAATGTGGATCCGCCATCGGCTGCGTACGGTATCGTTCCGTACGGTCATGGTTCAGGCCGAGAACAGTAGGAGGCCCAATGACCTTTGACCCAAACAAAAGCCTCAAGCCACTTTCTTTCCCCCACTAGGCCTTTTTCAATTCTTTTCACTGTTGAATGATTTCTCCCCGTCCATACAGACCGATTACATCTTATGTATGGAAGCAAGGTTGGAGGGGCAGTCATCCATTCATGCATTCGATTCATTGTACATATGTACATACATACATATGTACACACCTACATCAAATGTACGTACTTAGAGAATGACCTACAGAGGTAGTACTTCCATGATTAGTATTGTACCTCCGGAATGGAGTTCTTGTAGTACTGTACGGTCGTATCTATAGGATTCTTTGGCTCACTCTCGAATATTATATTACGAAAGGGCCTCTCCCTCGTACAACGTAATCCCTCATTGTTTGATTCAGATTCTCAGCGCTAACACAATTCCTCGTCCAACGGGGTAAATAAATAAAACAAAAACCCAATTCTGCTGGATCTGGTTCGCTTGTGGTGAATGAAACTAGCTGAGATCGTTCAGTTCTTGGCCAACTAGTCGGATGGAGCCCCGACAGAAAACGGTCTTCCCCCAGCCCATAGTATTAGTTACACCGAACTTAACTCGACAATCTTCCATGTTGATGATATGCTAGTATGTTTGTAGACTGAAAATATACTTGTTCGCTTAATCAGGCTGAAACGTTTCAGGAGAGATCATCGATTCAAGGGGACGAGCAGAAAAGGAGGGTCATTCATTTTCATTCATTCATACCGGTGGTAAGGAAGTTACCAAGAACGTCTCGGGAAAACGCCCAAGGCTTGTACAGGCTTGCCAGAGTGGAAGGAATCTCTCCGTACCCAATTTGACGGGACAGCGTCTGGCCGCTAAAATCGATGCTCCCCGATTTCTTTACGCAATCGAAGGTTTGTAGAACGGGAAATGGAAGAAGTCAATCGCAGATCCATCCTTATCCTTTTTCCGCGGTTCTTTGCCTTTTTCCCTGTCTGTCTTTTTTTTTTTTTTTTTTTTTTTTTTTTTTTTTTTTTTTTTTTTTTTTTTTTTTTTTTTCTTTTTTTTTTTTTTTTTTTTTTTTTTTTTTTTTTTTTTTTTTCTTTTTTTGCTTTTCTTCCTTTCAACCAACTTTCCGAGAAATAAAAAAAGTACATTAATGACGATTATTGACTGCCACCAGCAAGGCACTTCACACACAAGTTTTTTCTTCTTTGTTTGGAAATATATTTTTATCTATATAAAAAAGCCCGGCTTAAAATAAAATAGAATTATCAGGGGAAATTGTCTATGGAATTTATTTGCCCGGTGACCATGAAAGGGAAGAAAATAGATTAAAAATAAATAAACCAAAAAAAATAAAAAAAAATAAAGCCAAATAAGATAAATCCAAGACGAATTGAAGAAAATCCGTAGTACCCATCCCCAAGTCAGGAATACCTATTTGCCGTCCCAATGCCGGCTGTCCCGCGACGACCCAGGGCTATTCCCTGGTTTTTATCGGTATGATCCCCGTCGACTGTGTCCCTGGAGTCTGGAATTGAGAATCACGATAAGCCTCAAGGTAATCAGTACATTCTTTGGATCTGGGAGCAATCAAATCACAGCCATGGTAAACAATCATGCCGGAGGTCTAGGGTTATGGTAACCCTGCCGTAACTTACGGTTGGAACCGTTTTCGTCTGGCTCTCCATTTGTCTTCAAGCCAACCCCGATCGAGTAAAGCTCCACGAGAGAGGATCCGAAGCAGGCTAGACTCTGTCACATGTCCCAGGAGGGGATTCACGTTTGCTGCCTCAGCCCTTAAAATGGAGTTTGTCCTGTTTCTTAAGTCCGCTAGCTGTTCCATCTCGAAACCTCGGTGGGAGCAAGTAAATAGCAAATACTACCTACGGATAAATCCTCTCGGAGTCCGGAGTATTCTCCTCATAGGAAAATACACAGGAAAAAAAAATACAACGAAGTACTAACAAAAGGGGTTTTCAAATACAAACAACCGGTCTTTCCCCGGGGTCGACTCCGTAGACTACTACCAAATCATCCTTCCTCAAGCACAACGAAAAGTACAGACGAGGATATACTCCGTGATTCGGTGCACACCACACTGTCAGACGGTCGAGAGCCTTGTCACTCCAATTCCTGGCCCTCCGATTTGCTACGAGGAACAGAGGTCTAGAAGGAAGCAAAAATAACCTTTTTTTCGTTTCAGTGAACTCGGAATCGCGGCACTCAAACCGACTATCATATGCTACTCGTTACTACTTCTGGTACCAGGAAGTTCACTCCATGGGACAGTAAAACCTAGAGTAAAAAAAGAATATTTTAGCATCAACAGAACTTCTGGTTCGTGGTTCCACCTCACCTTATGGTGAACCCGGTACAGCCCAATCTTGGGGGGAGCCATGCGGGTGTCGTCGCCTACGTACTCTTGTACATACATACACTAGATAGTAGTATCACTAACCTACATTTGTTGCTGCATGCGGAGTGCAGCTCCCCGTCGATGATAATTAGCGGGATGTCACGGGACCGACAGACGGGGGAGTCCATTCCAATTCGCCCCCGATACCAACTACCGATGATTACCCATGCGAGATCGGGATCATCGCCGAGGAGAGAAAGAGAGAGGGTGTAAATGAGAGTGTCTGGCACGGGGACTTGTCGTCTGGAAGCGACTCTGGTGAGGGATCCCGGGAGGTTTCGCGCGAAATAACACCGAACTAATCCTGAGCTCTGAGGAGTGAGGACGGATCAATGCGGCTGGGGTTGGATGCGACCGGCGGGATTCCCTGTCGCCCAATGTCACGGTGCAGGGTGGACAGTGCGTCCTCTAAGTTCATCCCTCCCTTACATTCTACATCGCGAACTACTGGTCGGGTGGTCAGGTCGTATGTTAGACAGTCCATACATACCTATAGCGAGTCCCTGTTAATGCCATGGATTCACTTGGTCGCGGCATTAGGGTTTGAGACATGTGAAGGTCGTAGCTCTTATCAGGCTGAGCGATGTGATAGATCTGGAGTGTGATGGAGATGATGCATATAGCTCCATACCGATAAAGCTCCGTGTCTGCAATACAATGCGATTGTCAACCCGAAGTGAAGCTGATTTTAGACACTACCGATATCATCCTCATTCCTTTCTCTTCACTAGTCCCCATCCGATTAAAACGATCCCCAGCCGTACTTAATCATTATCCGCCGCCCTCTAATCTCGCATAATCCTTATCTGAAACACCCACGTCCGTAATCAGCCTTAAGACATGGATACTACTAGCGAATGTAGACAGGGTTTCTCGGTATATATCCGAACAGGCTATATATTGACTATGGGGATCGAGTAGGTATTCCATCCCATTCCATTGCAGAGGTGTTCCTGCAGAGACGATGTCAAATCGAAGTTCCGTACGGATGAAGCAGGTTTACCCGATTACTACTCGAGTCTAGAAGCACTTGCTTACATGCATCCTGTATGGATGGATTTACCAAATTATTACCGACTTACATACAATTACGGTACGACAATGACAGAACCACCACCGATTCACAGAATGGTAAGCAAGCACACGACCTCACTCCACTTCTTCTCACCAAAATAACCAGCTTGGGTCCTGGGATCCATGGAGTTGCCTTCCTTGCCAAATGTATCCACCGCGGCGCCCAGACAACTTCAGGTTACGGTACCTTTTGGGTAAGAACGACGGTCCCCACGTGGCAATCTATCCTCATGATTTGCTGCTTGCGTTTGGCTCCGTTGAGAAACCTTCCCGTCTGAGCTGAATTCACGAGGGGCCAATGATCTGGCTCTCGCTGCGTGTCATTCTCCCGACGTACATTTCCTGTTATGCATGGTCCAAGAGGACGGTGGATAATCGTAGGCGGTATATGTCATGACTACGTACTCATATATGTCGCTTCGTATATCGAGACTAGTATGCCGACGGTGCAGCCAATTGCACCTTCAAGAAGGCAACATCCACGGTGCGGCGGAAGCTTCGGCTATACTAGCACCAGCACTAACAATACTCTCTTTCAGCGCCCTCTCTCAAGGACAAAGGACTTGGCCTTCTTAGTGGTGGATCAACCGTTGACATCCACCGTGAACTTTGAAGCGGTGCCTGACTTTCTCTCTTCTGGCCTGTGCTTCTCGTCCAGCGGGTTAGTAACCACGGAGTATTCCCAAGTATGGACAATACCGATGGATCTTGAATTTCTACCGCGGCTTTCGGTTGAATGACATTTGTAGGAGTATGTAGTTCCACGTACTATGTACCCAGTACGTACTATTAGTAGTATCATCACATGGATCCTCAAACACAGTCCTGCGTAGCCATGTAACAACAGCAGCAGCAACAACAACAACAACAACAATAACAACAATACCAACTCCTCCCCCCAGCATTCCACAACCTCCCCTCCGAAACAACCGCAAGACTCGGACCGAACCCGGTCCATCCATGAGGATAGTATTTAACTCGAATAGGCAGTCCAAGTGAGACATCCATGCATTGCCCTCGAGATTTCCGACCACGAAAATAAGCAACAAGCAGAATGCAAGTGTTCTAGACTGGACCGACAAGGATTGTTGTGTTGTTTATTTGTCTCGTGCAGCCTCACATTAGGTAAACTAACTAACCAACCTAACCTGAGTTCTTGTTCCAGAAATTGCGGAATCCACATTTGAGCGATTTTCTGACTGTCCCCTGCAGTAGTTCCATCTCTTGCACCCCGGGTGGATCGAGGTACAGGTGTGTTTTTTTTTTTTTTTTTTTTTTTTTTTTTTTTGGGAGTGGGATTTTTTTTTTTTTTTTTTTTTTTTTTTTTTTGTTTTCTTTGGGGTTGTGTTGTGGGTATCTAGTAGGTACTATCTATCGGGCTATGGATCTGTATACGTGGTGATGGTGTGACCCTTTTGGTTCGTATACATGGGTGTTGTTTTTGGCTGCAGGATCCGATGTCATGGGCTTGTTTAAGATAAGGAATCCCAGTCGTGAGGTCATGGGGAGGGTTGTAAATTTTTCTTTTTTTCTTTTTTTTCTTCGTGGCGTGGATGTGTCTGGTTGGATTAGGGAATGGTTTCCACTGTGGCTGGCGGGCCGGGGACAAGTCGTTCCTCATTGTCAAGTAAATGCATACATACAAAATTTTGGGTATACAGTGATGGAGTGTTGTTTGAGTTTACAGGAAAATAACCACACATAATACATGCTCCTCGCATCGTAGAAGATAACTAGGGAGAATATCGCCAACGCGACTGCATGAACTACCAGTCTCCTTCGCTCTCGCTGCCGGGGTATGCCTTCTTGCGCAGCTTCCACAGGGATTTCTCCCGCTGCGCCGCCTCCCGCTGCTGGCCGCTGTTGTCTTCAATTACCGTCATCCAGGGTGCATTGCTGGCCCGTCGAATGCGGTCACGGAGGATCGCAGACACCCGGGCTTGCTGTTCTGGTTCGAGGAGGCTGTCTTCTTGGTCGGTGGGGGCTTCGGTCTTCTTGAGCTTCTCGACGGACTCTCGATAGCGTCGCTCTTCGGCGCGTGCGGCGTAGTAATCTTCGCTAATCGCCCAGTTGGGGTTGTCGAGCTGGCCGCGGACGAGGACGATGCCGTGGCCTTGTTCGAGGGCGTCGCGGATCGCCGATCCCGCAATGGGGGTGACCAATTCCAGTCGCTGCGAGGAGACGTCGATGGAGCGTACGAGAGCGAGACCTAAGCAGCGGGATGCTTTCGGGTCGAGAGGGTTATTGCTACCGGAGCCCACGAACAGGTAGGGTAGGTTCTCGGTAGGTGTGCGAGCGATGTTTGCATCGATGAATGGGTTAATGGGGTCCTGGGAAGTACCTCCATCCATCGGTGTATCGGTGGAATCGTCCATGGTGACATCTGCATCTGCGGATTGGGCAGGGTGGTGATTTGTTAGACCGGGGCCATCGTTCTGGCCGAGAATCGCTTTGGGGGACTCCACGGCGACGACAGCGACAATAGCCCCGTCCAGGACCTCCCGGAGCAGATCAGGGTCGATCTGAGAGCCCATGACCATAACACCCTTGATACCCTGCTTGGGTCCGGCGTAGTGGACGTGGAATGGCCTGGCCCGGGAGATTGGCTTCTCTAACCACAGCGGGTTGCTGATTTCGGTGGGGCGAGTCATGTGGAAGTAGGACTGCATCTGCATGGACCGTAGCTGCGCGCTGGACCGGCTTACGAAGTCGGTTGGCTGGGACGGGAGGATGGTCAGAGGGACCATAGCTTCTTGAGCTGCCTGACCGAGAGGCATCACGACCTCTGTGGGACCTTTCTCGCTCATGTATACGACATCGGACAAGCCGAGGGATCGAACGAGCCATGTCGCAACTTCTAAACCAAGTCCAAAAATCCATCCGGGATAGTTGATGATCAGCGGACATTGGGGGTAGCTTGCCAGCAAGGCACGGTAGCGATCCATGAGGTCCATGGCCGCGAGCACGTAGTGGTCAGGGTCGTCTTTAGGCGATATGGCCCCGATGTGATGGGCTCTGATGATGGTTCCCTCCTGGGGACTATCTACCGATGGGTGGGAGAATGGGGGGCCGAAGACGGGGGACCGGAGATGCGCCAGATACACTTGTCCCATGGGAGAGAATTCTGGTTGGCCGGGGTCAAGATCAAGGAAGGCGACGCCATCGGTGTTACAGTAATTCGTTTCAGTCTGCGGGGCCGGGCTGAGCAGATGGTTTAGCAGATACCGGCTGAATGTAGATTTTCCAGAAGCTTTGGGGCCACAGATCAGTGCCTTTAATCGACCTCCTCGCTGAGATAGCGATTTGATAGCTGAGCTCCATTGCTTCTCCAGATGCAATGGCCGGAGATGTCGTTTGAAGGAGTCGTCTGCGGACGTGTACAGCTACAAAATGTCAATACAGTGGCCCGATATCAGGGTAACGAGATCCACTTACGACGGAGAACGTCCTTTTAGCGGAAGATGGGGCATTTCTGAGTGTGAGTTTGTCGGCTGAGGTATTTTTGCCATTCCATATCCGTCGATATAGAGGAGACAGATCCCTGAGGCGATAGATACCACTGTGGCAGGACTTGACTTCAATCTCTGCTGCCCCATCAACCCCTGATACACACTTTATCACGGGTAATGAATGTGTAGACGGGGCGTAAACTCGGTAAAGTCGCGGAGAAGGGTGTAGTTTCGCACCCATGACACTGACGACACCGCGCTTCACCCACAGGTCGTAATGACCAATCAACACCAGACTCATTTTCTCCTTTATATGCACGCACAACGTATGTTCATCGCTGTAGACTATATTGCTCTTGCTCAAACGAGTTTTGGATAGAGGGAACTCTTGGATCGGCCCGGAGGTATCAGCGGGAGACTCGTAACTAGAGACCATCAGTGTCTATACCCAACGCAGCAGCTAGTACCTTAACACTTACCCATCAATATCACCTCTAAGAGGAGCGATTCCGGCACCATTCTCTCCCACAATTGGATTTTGCTCTTCAGTTTCTTCGTCTGAAGAAGACTGGTCTTCGGGTTCCTGGGGAGAGGTGCGAACAGGCAATTGTTCGCTAGATTCCACCGAAGGTGTTTTCTCCTTTTTCTCCACCGGTTTACTAGCTTTCAAGCTCTCAGCTTTCCGTTTTGAGGACCGCGTTGTCCGTCCCTGAGGTTCTCCGCTGGCAGGCGGGGTTGGCACCGCTTGTTCTGGCGAACGTCGTGGTTTCTTCGCCGGTGGCTCCTGCACTGATTCCGGTTGCGAAGGTTTTGCCACAGCTACCGCAGCCTGCATTTGCTGTTGACGAGCCTTACGCGCCGCAACGGCGCTCATTGGGGCCGGTGCTAAAGAAAGCCATGTCAGTAGACTTCTTTAATGAGGATAGTATGGCGCTGCGCACCGGCCGCCTGTTGCTTTTCCGCCTTTCTCTTCATATTTTCTAGAACCACAATGAGAATGACTAGATTTCGAGGTCATTCGTCAGCGTCGCAAAGACTGAAGAAACGACGTTGGCGGCTCTTTTTCAGAAAATCATTTAAGACCGCGGACTTTGATGGTGGTCCGTGCTTCGCGGAGCAGAAAAAAAAGGTTATCGCTCCGACGAGAACTACGTCGTTCTCTCAACTCGTAAAGAGTATTTGCTCTGTGATCTTTTATTCAAGACGATCGCCAATTGCACCTGTGAAATATCCAGCGTTAATTGCTAAATATTCCCTGTCGTCTTGCGAAAATCGACTTTGCTCTACAAGGCTTGGCGTTCCGTATCGCAAGCTCCAATTTTTTTTTTTTTTTTTTTTTTTGCTCCGCAATCTTTCGCATCAACGAACGTACTGTTCAGACGTCCTGCGAAAGACACAATGGCCCCCAAGTCGAAGGAAGTAATCACCTCGGACAGCGAGAGCAGTCGCTCCAGCTCTCCTGAAGTGTCGAAGGAAGCGGAGGTTTCGAGTTCGGAATCCGAGACCAGCGACAGCGATAATGACAGCGTTGCCTCCGAAACGCAGGACAAGAAAAAGTGAGCATTTGTTATGCCATACAGTGGCTTCAAATCTAATCCGCTACACATAGGTCCTCTAAGGTCTCCTTCCAGGCACCTCAACCCTACCGGGCACCCTCTGGTTTCAAAGCCGCGAAGAAGCAGTCGCCCCCCTCATCCAGCACTACCTCCCTTCTTTCCGATCTGCGCGGCAAACAAGTCTATCACATCACCGCTCCTGCGTTCCTGCCTCTGTCTAAGGTGAAGGAGATCTCACTGGGCAAAGTCATGAAGGGCGAGCCAGTCATGAAGCACGAAGGTGTGCAGTACGGAATTCCAGCGGAGAGTATAACCCAGAGCGATGTGGGCGGAAAGGCCCTTCTTTTGTACGACTCGAAATCTCAAACATATTACACTACATCGACAAAGGATATCCGGAGCTATCATGTCCAAGAGTTGATCAACCTTCCTGAAAGATCTGAGGAAAATGACACGGTGCTGGAAGCAGCCAAGGAACAGATCAAGCCGCCAAGGAAGCAGCCCAAGCACCTCAAGATGCGTTTCCGACCCGTTGGCAGCGAGCAGGTACCACCGGAGACCCTTGGAAGCAGTTCCGAGGAGTCGGAGGGGGAGCAGCCCACGTTCAAGGTGCCCAAGGAATCGCGCAAAGAGAAGGAAGATAAGAAGCGAAAGCACCATCAGACAGATGGGGAAGGTAGCCAGCCCAGTGCTGAGCCGCGGAAGAAATCCAAGAAAGAGGACGGAGTAGAGAAGGCCGAGAAGTCGAAGAAGTCGAGTAAGAGCAAGGAAGAGAAGAAGCGCAAGAAATCCGACAAGTCTGCTTGAGGTTGATTCTGTGAATCATGATTGCGCTTGTTTCCTTTCTCACCAAAAGTTAAATGGTATTTGCTATGCATGAAGGCGTGATGATACCTGCAATGGCCTCCTCGAGCTTACGGTTTTCTTTATTACCTCTGTTTTCTTCTATTCTTCTCCCTGTTAGCCCTGCAGCATCTGTACATAAGGACGAAATGTAGAATTTCTGTTGTTCGAGTATTAGGTCTGGTAAACTGGTCCTAGAACGTATGTATCTTTAAGGGCTCGAGAGACCACCATATATAAGGGGTGGAAGAGAAACGAAAAACTTCGGTCTAGTGCTTGGCAAATATATATAGTGTTATGACTGTTGAAATGTTTCCATGGATAACCATGTCCGTAGAAGGAGCACCATGGTCCCGTGGTGTTCAAGAGAGTGACCACAGATGGAGGCTGATCCAGGCTACCTTGTAAGTCGAGAGGCCCACTAAGGAGTGTCGATCAACCCGAGTCTATTTCGCCAATTAAGCATAGCCACTAAACCTCAATTATGGGGCCTCGTGAACTAATTTAGTCCTCCAGCTGTCAGTGATCCATTGTATGTACTGATACGTACTACCAAAAATTGGATGAACCCCTGGAGTCACAGGATTAATTATGACCGTAGAAAAAAAAATGGGTGAACATGTAGTAAACAATAAACTACCTCACGCGTACTCAGTAGGTATTATTGTTGGCCGTTTTTCTTGACCGCATCCCCAGGACTCGAAACTAATTAATTAATCTACCGACAGATCGGATCCTGGAGAATGACATAAGCCACTCAGGGACTGGCTGCTATTGGCCCATCCGTGGACCACAATCACATGCGCCGAGTCTGATTGGCTCCCGGTAGTTGAGGCGAACAGCTGATATGGGCGAGTGACGCCAGACTCCAGACTCCGGACTCCCATGCTTCCTTCCTTCGTGCCTAGCATTCACCTTGCGTATCGTACGCTCGTCGACCGCTTCTGCTCCTCTCATTCTTTAGTCGCTGGCTCCCAGTATGATCACCATGTCTCTCTCTTCGTGATGACTCACAACTTCCCCCGTGTCCTGCTTTGGTGGCTCCCATCTCCGTTCTAGACGGGCCGTTGATACCGTTCTAAGCAGCGCTTATCGGCTCGCGGACAAAAACGTTTTGGGTACTTTCCCTGCTTTTACTTTTCTTTTCTTTTCTTTTTCCGTATGCCCTGTTTCGTTTCCTGTAGCCCCTATATTTTTGTTTGTTTGTCCTGTCTAGATATTTATGGACGGTTAACTGATGACATGGCTAACCTAAGGTCATCTGTCGGCATAGCGCCTTCCGCCTTCGTCACTCGCGCGGACAACTCACTCCCTTGACTCAAGAGATTACACCCATACTCTTATGACCATCACTTCCCGCGTGCTCGCTGTCCTGTTTAACCTCCTAATCCTTGGATTCTTCTTCGTTTACGCTCTTTATTCCCTCGTCTCCGATCTAGATGCCCAACATGAAACCTCTCCTAGAAGACGCAAAGCGGCGAGTCGACCGTAGACTCAGTGCAGGCAGACAATCAATCTCTTCTAGCCGCATATTTTCCAGTGCCTTCCCGGAGCGGTTAAAAGACGACCATGATGCCCAGGTTGACTATACCGCACCACCTCGAGGAACCGGCTCGCGAGACGGTCAGCTGCCGTATATGCACCAGTCCATATTCTCGATGATTGCCGCCGTCGGCTCCAAATCTGATTTCCATGCACGCTTTGATGAATCGAGTGACAGCGAGGGAGAGGTAGAGGGACAAACCCAGAAGCAACCTGGAAAAGGTTCATTACCGATAAAGAAGAATTCTTCGCTATCACCTACTCTCAAGCCTCAAAGCTCTTCTGAAGGAAGAGGGCGTCGCCATCGAAGGTCAATATCCGACAATAAACTCTTGCGATCTTTAAAGCTGAATCCCAAGAGTAGTAAAGGTACAGAAACAACTATACAAACTGAGCCTCCGACGAGCGATGAAATGTCTCCGCTTCCTTCTCCTAGGCGCGCACGAAGTGTCACTCCTCGCGCGGCTCCTATCCTCAGTCGTATGCTTGAAGCGGAGGCTCTCTTGGACAAAAAGCAATCAGCAGAACAACCTTCATCATCTATCAAGGCGGAGACCGACGGCACGTCTGAACAGCCATCTGCATCCCCACTTTCTCTCCGACTGAAGGAGATGTTTGGGTTCGAGAAACCAGAAAAAGTTCTTGTGGAGTATGCTTGCTCCCTATTACAAAACATTCTTCTTCAGGGGTACATGTACGTCACGGAGGGGCACATATGCTTTTACGCCTATCTGCCTAGAAAGTCTGCCGTTACCATAAGGTCGGGATATCTTCATAAGCGTGGCCGGAAGAACCCAAAGTACAACCGGTACTGGTTTTCACTGAAAGGGGACGTTCTATCCTACTATACGGATCCGTCCAGTCTCTATTTTCCAAGTGGTCATGTTGATCTCCGATATGGAATTTCTGCTACTTTGACCGAGCAAAAGGACAAAGATAAGGAAGTACGAGATTTTCAAGTCACTACAGATCAGCGAACATATTATTTCAGAGCGGATAGCTCTGCCAGTGCGAAAGAATGGGTCAAAGCCTTGCAAAAGGTTATCTTCCGAGCTCACAATGAGGGTGACAGTGTCAAGATTTCCTTCCCCATTGAGAGCATAATAGATATCGAGGAGAGCCCTATTACCGACCTTGCTGAGACATTTAAGATCCGGGTGGTTGAGAGTGATGAATCATATGCCATTGATGAGGTACGTATTTCATAAGCGAATGCCACGTTGTGACTAACCATTGGGTCTAGTATTACTTTTCATTCTTCGAATCTGGTCGGGAGGCATATAACTTTGTGAAAGGGTTGATCGGCGAGAGCCCGATGAAAACGTCTCAGCTTTTACCACGACCGGAGCAAACAAGCCCCAAAAGTCGCACTCGTGGGTCTCGAAACAGATGGTCGTTAAATAGCGACTTGAGTCAACCTCGAGGAAATCAAACTATTAAAACACAACGTCAACGGAGTGCAAGCACCGGCCATACTAACCCTGGTCCCGATGGCATCGGAATGTCTCCCCGACAGCGGGATCTATCGGATTCGTTTGTCAACTCTTTCGAGCAAGCAACAGACGCTTCGGCGGCTCTCCAGTCGATAACCGATGCAACAGAGTCTGCTAGCCAGATCTTGAATCGAAGTGATGTTTTCCAATCTCCAACAATCCACACCCTGCAACAATGGCGTTCCGATGGTGACAGGGCAGGCCGTCGGCTTTCAGACGGAACGGCACGGTCAACTCATCCTAACGCTGCTGATGCTAAAAGAAATGGGCAGGAACTGCAATATGCCAGCAGTGAGTCCGACCAGGGCACACAGCAACCATCTAAGGTGAACTCATCTGCACCAACCTTGAATGAACTGGTCAGAGCTGGTACGTATCCCCTTCAGCGTGCCGCCGGATTTGCAGAGTATTTGCGAAACCGGTCGAGGCAAATGAGCAATCTTCTGGCAAGCGAATCAATGGGTTACATTGAGAAAGTCTCCGGGATGTGGGCCGGTGGCCGCAGACATTATGGAGAAACTGAAGGCGTGCTACCAGATGATCAGGATGTTGATCCTGAAGACAAGGAAGACGGTGTCAAGCATGGAGATCGTTTCCGTGCCCATTTCGCCCTGCCGCCAACCGAAAGGCTGCAAGCTACTTATTACGCATATCTGCATCGTGTCCTCCCGCTATACGGGAAAATATATATCAGCCAGAAAAAGCTTTGTTTTCGTAGTCTTATTCCGGGAACACGCACCAAGCTGATATTACCACTCAAAGACATTGAGAATGTGGAGAAAGAGAAAGGCTTTCGGTTCGGATACCAGGGGCTTGTCATCATCATTCGGGGACACGAAGAGTTGTTCTTCGAGTTTAATACGGCAGACGCTCGAGATGATTGTGCGGTCACAGTACACCAGAGCCTCGAGTCTATGAGGTTTTTGGTAGAGTCTGGCCTGCTAGCAGAACAGGAAAAAGACGAGATCGAATCAGCCCAAGCAGAGCATCGCATGCTACAGGAAGCTAGGTTAGATGGAGCTGGTGAGCATGACTCTCACGCATCTGTGAATGAGTCATCGGAGCTTCATCCTATTTTTGATGACCCTCGTGCTTCGATTATCAATTTCAAGCCCTCCGAGTCATTACGCATTACATGCCTTACCATCGGTTCGCGGGGTGATGTGCAGCCGTATATTGCCCTGTGTAAAGGGCTGTTAGCAGAAGGCCATAAACCTAAAATTGCAACCCACGCAGAGTTCGAACCATGGGTGAGAAAGCATGGTATTGACTTTGCCCCAGTTGATGGTGATCCTGCCGAGCTCATGAGAATATGTGTTGAGAATGGAATGTTTACATATTCATTCTTGAAAGAGGCGTCCACAAAGTTTCGGGGATGGATTGATGACCTTCTATCCTCAGCATGGGCCGGCTGTCAAGACAGTGATCTTCTTATTGAATCTCCAAGCGCAATGGCTGGTATTCATATCGCTGAGGCACTCAGAATACCCTATTTCCGTGCCTTCACGATGCCGTGGTCCAGAACAAGAGCATATCCGCATGCCTTCGCTGTCCCGGAGAACAAGATGGGCGGTGCGTACAACTACATCACCTATGTTATGTTCGACACTGTCTTCTGGAAGGCCATTGCGGGACAGGTGAATCGTTGGAGAAAGAAGCAGCTCGGACTAAAGGCGACCACTCTCGATAAGATGCAGCCGAACAAGGTTCCCTTCCTTTATAACTATTCTCCTTCTGTGGTGGCCCCTCCGTTGGATTATCCGGACTGGATACGTATAACAGGGTATTGGTTCCTGAGTGAGGGAACCAATTGGACTCCTCCAACAGACTTGCTTGACTTCATTCACCGTGCTCGCAGTGATGGCAAAAAAATTGTCTACATTGGGTTCGGGTCTATCGTCGTGTCTGACCCTTCGGCTCTAACCAGAACTGTGGTTGAATCCGTCCAAAAAGCTGATGTCCGTTGCATTCTGTCGAAGGGGTGGTCAGATCGACTAGGGGATCCTGCCAGTGCGAAGGTCGAAATTCCCTTACCGCCGGAGATTTTCCAAATTCAAGCCGCGCCGCATGACTGGCTTTTTTCGCAGATCGACGCAGCAGCACACCATGGTGGCGCTGGAACTACTGGAGCGAGCCTTCGGGCAGGTCTTCCTACCATCGTTAAGCCGTTCTTTGGTGACCAGTTCTTCTTTGGCACCCGCGTCGAAGATTTGGGCGTGGGTATCTGTATGAAGAAGTTGAACGTAAGCGTGTTTTCGCGGGCTCTGTGGGAGGCTACTCATAGCGAGAGAATGATTGTAAAAGCGCGAGAGCTAGGTGCACAGATACGAAGCGTAAGTCTCCAAGCTAACCTTTGTCACGGTTCGTTAGCTAACATTCAATCAGGAAAACGGTGTGGATACGGCTATTCAAGCAATTTATCGTGACCTGGAGTACGCTAAAACACTGGCTCGGCAGCGCTCGATTGTCTCGTCAACTCCTTTCTCCCCAACACCATCGGCTAAAACCGTGGCCGAGCAGGAAGAAGATGACATGGATGACAGTGAGGAGTGGACATTTGTCGGTGACGACACAGAAATTGATGTTTCAAGACGGCTGCGTGATCGAGCGGTGTCTGATGTTGATATGCTACCCGAACCAGTCACAAGCGCATCGTAGGCGGGCTATCGACATACCTTGCGATGTTACCACCGCTACTTGTGAGAAACCTTTTCTTATCGGCTCATGACTTATGGTTCTGCCTATTTCTTCGCTACGGATGTTACTTTGAGTGCCCCGCTTGACTTCTGCTTAGACTCTTTTTATATTTATCTATTCCATTTTTAGTGTTTTCTCTTTCGAACAGATCGCATGGATTTAGATGGCTTGCGATGGTCTCACCTCGGTTGTTTCGTTTCCCCCTTTGCGTTTATATTATACGTGATGACTGATGATTGTTTGGGCGGTGATATACGCCTCCAGCCAGCCGCATCCTGGCTATGACGGCGGCATTGACCTATATTAATTCCCTTTTGTTCATTCTGTGATAGACCGGTATAATGGCCCGGCGCAGGAAGCATAGTTTGTGCATTATTATTTTATTCAGTTCATAATCGACCCCATAGGACTAATAGAGAGCAAGAATTGCTTATATCTACACCAATCAAGGCAGCACTTTGTTTCATCCCAACCCTCACTAGGATATACGCAAACCGAGTAAATGAAAAATCTTTTCTAAGCCAGACAAAGTCATTAAAAAGCCTTAAGCACCCGAAGGGCCCTTGGCCGTATCATCGTCTTCGTCGCCCTTCCCATCTGCCTTGTCTTTCCGACGCTGCACGACATCCCAGTTATAGACACGAGCCGTAGCAACTTCCATCGTCTGCGACCAGTTAGCACCGAATCACACACATATAGCTCTATGAAGCTGAAGCAGCGTATATATATAGACAGAAAGAAGAACGAGAGAGGGGAAATGAGTACCGTAATCTGCTCCCTCAAGAACTCCAAATCCTCATCACAATTCGACAGACTCAACTCCGCCGTGGACAACTTCTCCGTCAACATGGTCTCCGCCTCCCCAATCGGATAAGCCAACATAACATTCGCCCCGAGCCAAAGATACACCTCCTCTGTGTCCGCAGGGTCGACCGTCGCACGCGCATAGAGCGTATCGTTCAATTCGAAGTTCGTCTCCAGCGGGTCGGCGTTATTATCGCGGCGCATCTTGAGAAACTTGACCATTTCCAACGTCTTCTTGATATCCGGGATCTTTTCACGGAGGCCCGCCGCCCGTCGTTGTGTGTTTACTTCCATGAACTGGTACTTGGAGATCATCTCTTGGAAGGAGCGGAGCGTGGGCTCGACGTCTGCGCGCGTCGAGACGTAGTCGGTTACATTGTCGACGAAGGGGGCGACGGGGATACCGCGCGGGTTAGTCTCTGGGTTTATTGTTCTGGTTTTTCAGCGGTTGGTTAGTTATTTTGCGGTGGTGATTTTTTTTAGCTTGGGGGTTTGCTTGTTGGGGAGTGGGATGGTGGAGGGGTTATAATTTCGCCGTGGAGTTTTGGTTTCTCGCATATTTTTGGGCGCGGTGACTTACGGGGTCTTTTTGTCTGCCATTGTGGCATGTCAGACTGGGGTCAGTCTGAAAGGGGGGTAAGAGGGGGAGGGAGAGAAAGTGAACTGAGGGCGTAATTCGTCGAGTGATAGTAGCGTTATCTGGGATGAAGCCGTAAACGCTGAAAGGTTCATGTGGGGGAGCATCTTGCCTATTTGGGAAAGGTGGCGGTACTGAACTGTATTTGCGGTAAGCTTCAACTTGCTTTAGGGCTGAGCTCTAGTAGATTGATATAACTTTGGTTTTGGCTTTATTATTGCAAGACTACCCTCATAATACCCTTTCTTGCTATTCGAGTTTCCCCCGTTAGTATCCTTGTGTGATTCTTAGCGAACTCTACTTGGAGATCCCTTCGGAGTGATATACTACGTATGCTCTGATGTGAGTAGTACTCCGTGCAATTAGGATTTACCGCAAGCAGTAGTTACTTCGATTTTTAATTAAATTGGAAGCTGAAGCAAATTGCAAATAATGTATTAGTGATATTGTTCATGCTCATGCCGCAAAACCTTCATGTCATAAGAGACAGCCAATCTATCCCGGTTTTAATGACTGCTAGACATAACCCACAACCTACAGGTCGATCTCATTTGACGGCCTTGCCAGGTTAGCCCTCCAGTGATGAGTATTGACAGGACTCTTTTGATACAGATTAAGTTCGAAGAACTTGTTGTGCAGGGCACACCTAAAGTTCTTGTAACTACTTCCGCTTAGCAACTGCCTTTCACAGATAGCACGGTATAAACATACGAGTTCAACTTCTCGAAGTTCTTCTCGATAAGCCATTGCTCACCAACCTCGATGAATTCCGCACCAGAAAGGTCTCGGCGTGGTATGAAGTATCTTCTGCTCTCCAACGGGCCGTAGTTCACTTGCTTTACCAACTGTACCGCGTATTCGGGTGCGGCCAATGAAGTATCGTAGTCGGAGGAGACTTCGCTCGTCACGGTCCAGTGGGCCCATTCCAGGAATTTGTTGAACTTGCTCTCCTGATCCAAAATTCGTGGCCGGTAAGGGCTAATGTGCGTACAGCAGAAGATGGGGGTGGAGATTGAAGCCATCTTACAGGGCACTGACAAGTATAGATAGTATGCCTGAGAAATGCCACAGGGAGATATAGCGGACATGAGGCAAGTAGCTGTTTATCTGGGAGGACACCATAACTTATTATAGACATTGTATGAGAAGCACTTCTGTTAGAGAAGATGAGGACGGAAATGCTTTCCGCTATCCCAAACTAACTATGCCCTATTGTTTTGAGGCCTCCCACAGTCGTACCGTTGTTCGATGCATTCCTGACGTCGTTTTGCATCTTTTGCCTTGGGAGCTGACCCAATGAGCAATACACAATTTGAGGCCTACTGGTGATCCCCCACTAGGGCTCCAGGCTGGTGTCCGCAATAAATGCATATGGCCTGGCCAATTAAACATCCCCGTTTTGAGGCCTGCCATAGCCTCGCCAACCTGAGGCATCCACCAAGCCAGGTTAAATATGGCTGCTTCGACCTCAATCTCCAAAGTTTCTTTCCTTTCTTTTCCTCTCCAGGGCAGTGGAGCTGCCACTCGTCCGCTCTTTACTTCTTGTTTTCGATTCTGAATTCTTGCGAAATTGTTCTATTGTGCTCTTTCTCCCCTTCCCACTGTGCACATTTACGTGGAATCGTTCCCTCTGATCCCACGTAGTTTGGTCTATCCTGCAATCCGGGCTCCGTTTGCTGCTTGTTGGAGAAATCATTTGGCAAGAGACATATAGCCCTTAACCTTCTGTACCCGGAGTTTCTACTCTTATACCGAGCTCCAGTTCAGATAGCGTAGGTCGGCCACCACAGGTACTAAACTATCATCACACAACACTTGACGGAACTGTCGACCCTCGCTGGCTCGATACTGCTGACCGGACGGGTCCGAAGGCACTGCCAGCGTCAGATGATTCTCTCCATCACTTGAGCCAAGACACTCCACCACAGGAACTTGATCAGACTCAGTATCGGGAAGGAGAGCCTGCACATAGCAATTTCGATTCATCGCAATTTATTTTCCAACAAGATTCGCCCCAGACACAACATATTGTACCTGAATTACTGTCGGATCTCTCAACTCCAGGACATGATACTTCGTCTGCCAACCAACCGATTGATTCTCCCCAACAGTCGTTGCAGTGTGATCTGTGTACAAGTGTGTTTGAGAAAAGGGTCCATCTCAAGTAAGTAGCAGTCAGAAGTTGTAAGCAGTTTTCTGAGCCGTGTTCTAATTTGGCATAGCAAACACAAGAGATCCAAGCACGAACGCCCTCACAAGTGTGACGTAGCAGGCTGTGACCGAACGGAGGGGTTCCAATTCAAGAAGGATCTTAAACGGCATCACGACAATGTCCACAGGAAGGGAATCTCTACAGGCTATTTCTGTGAGTATTCCTGGTGCCGCGCTTCCAAGCTACAACGTGGGCGCAAGGGAAAGCCTGGAATGCGGTATGACAACTTTCGGCGGCATATGGAACGCCACCCTGGCTTTAGACAGTGATCTACATTGAGAGACTGAGTGGCAGTTTTAGAAGTCCGATATGTTACAATGTCAGAAGGGTCCAAAGAAGGGGTCCGCCTTATTGAAGTAAGCTCCAAACTATCGAATGACTAGTATCAACCCTGTAGTTCAAATGGTATAAAGTATAACCAGTAGAGCACCTTGAAAGTATAGGTATAACCAACTATTGATACCATGGTCCTGCTTAATATCTAGTAATGATTAAAGAGGAATTGATAGAGCTTCTATACCTGATAGTCTAGTATTTATAGGTATCCCTACATGTTGAGGAACTTCTATATACTGACTTCCTGTCTACAGCGATATAAACATCTCGGAAATACTCGGGTGGTCATAAGGTCTGCTCCGAGACTTCCCGAATTCATCTGACGTGGACGTGGTGGAAACAATCCACATCGTCTACACTATCTGGAACCAGCCAATCCAAGATGCCCACAGTCAAATCTAAATGCAAAGTCGCTTGTAAATCGTGCAATTTGCGACGAGTCAAGTGTGATCGGACTGAGGAAGCACCATGCACCTACTGCCGACTGGCAGGGCAGGATTGCCAGCCCATTGTCTCGAGACGTGGAAAGTATGCTTGCCTTTCGTACTTCGCTTTTACGCATAAAATACAAATGAACACCAGACTGAGATAATCCAGGTATAAACGAAATCCTGATAAAAGCACTGCTACTCGGCCGGCACTTCGTCGGTCGTCACGAAAGCAGCAAAATGAATGTAATCCTACCATTGCCGTATCGGGTGAACCAGCTTCAGATACCATTGTCATCAATAATAGTAGCCCAAGTTTTGGTGATAGGAATCCCACTGCTGAGGCCCAGTCGTGTGAGCCTTCCAATCCCCAGTCAAGTACCCCGCCACCAAGGCATGGCTATCAATATTCCTCGACAAGCTCGGACAGTAAGGTGGTATACTACGGCGATTCCTTCAACCTTGACTATATGTTGCATGAAATGGGAGACCATTTAGGTGCATCCCGTAATGGTCGCCCTTGGGAGGATACTCTTGAGCACTTATACTTCAGCCAGCTAGGCCAATCAACGAAAACACAGATAGAAGAGCATTCTCGAAACCAGCGTCTGCAGCTGAGAGATATTGGCGCGCTTAAACCTTTCGAAAGGAATGCCAGTGACGACTTGATTAAGGTTTTCTTTGAGATGTGCTACCCTCAGTGTCCAATATTTGATCGAGCAGACTTTCAGCTTAAGTACGAGGCTGGAAGGGTGTCACCACTGGTTTTGCAAACTGTGTATTTCGTGGCCCTCAATCATTGCAGTGAAGAAGTTTACAAGCGGGCTGGCTTTGAAAATAGATATTTGGCAACATTTACATGTTATCAAAGAGCGAAAACCTTGTACGACACAAACTACGAATCTGACGCTATAGCGACTCTTCAAGCGGTCTATCTGTTGTCTTTCTGGTGGGGAAGTCCAATGGAACAGAAGGACATGTGGCATTGGACCGGTATTGCATGTAATCGAGCACAGTCCCTAGGATTACATCAACGGTTGGTCATTGATGGTAGATGCTGTGAACTGGCTGACGCATTTCTAGGAAAACTTATGTGGGGTTAAGTGAGAGGAACAGAAAACTATGGAGGAGGATTTGGTGGACTATTTACGTATGATACCCTATGTTAGACTATGAAACTTGCTGACTTTTTTATATAGGTACATGACATCTCTGTGACAATCATGCTAGGACGAACTCCACACATCAACGATGCGTACTGCAGTGTAGAGATGCTGGGCGAAGATGATTTCGAAACATCAGACAATGAATTGATCGATTCTGATCTGTTTCGAGAACCCACACGTGAAAGCCGACTTTACATTATCCACTTAACAGACTTATATTCGCGAAGTATGTCTACCTGGTTGTGCTCTTGGCTAAAGCCTTGCTAACATTGCAGAAGCAAGTAAATGCTGGTTAAACATAGCTGGGGCAAGCTTCAATGAATCAATGATTCTCAAAAGCCTGGATGACCTTACATCCTGGAAAACGTCCCTTCCAAGAGAGTTGCAGCATCGAGAATCCGCAGTTTCTGTGGAAGATGGCCTCTGGACTACCCTGACCCATCTAAATTATTTGTAAGAAACATCCACCTCGGAGAGATATCTCTAACAAACCTTAGCACTGTGCAGGTCTTAATACGCCGGAACGGTTTAAATGATCCTGACAGAATGAAGGCCGGATCAATTGTGTTTGATGCAGCTGTGCAAATTGTGCGAATATTGGAGGACCTTGTATCATCGCAACTACTTCCTTTTGCATTGATGCGCAGGTATGTTCTTCTTGTACACATTGACCTTGTTGAGAGATATTCACAAACCAAGTGCACCGGCTGCTTTCGCCGCTCTCTCTGTTCAGATCGCAAACATGCGCGGATGCCCATCCCATGTGGTCGACGTTTCGAAGCATAGAGCTCGACTCTGTATGATGATCATAAACAAGCTGCAAGACCACTCCCCTCCACTCCTGTGGTACTATCGTCTGTTTGTACGGATATTACGTAGCATGGGTTGCGAAATACCCGATGAAGGCAATCGAGATGTTTCACCTCATTTCGGCCCTTCCGATCAGCGTCTACATGGACTTCACTCACCTACAACTGACTTTCTCTACAACAACCCATTTGAGAATACTTCACAGGAGGTTGGTCCGAACTATACCTCCAATGACCTATCCACCAGCAATCCAGCTCTCTGCGACTTTGGCCTGTCTGGGATGACAGCATCCTTTGTATTCTCCAGCTTCTTTAATAGCGACTTGATTGATGGGACATCAACGGATCTTGGGAATCACAACTTCGACCCATCGTCTCTATGAAACGTGGGAATAGCTGCCCAACCGGCTGAAAGCACATGGCGACATGCGACTCTAACAAACTTCACCCAAGCCGAACCCACAGCTCCTATTGTACATATAAGATAGACAACACACAAACCCATCTCACCTCCGATACCACATCCGAGTCACTTTCGTCCTCTTGATCTTCTTCTGGAGCTGAAAAATCGCATACATCAGAGCCTCCGGCGTCGGCGGACACCCCGGCACATAAATATCCACAGGGACCACCCGATCCACACCCCTGACCACACTATAACTATAGTAATAGTATCCACCCCCGTTAGCACAGCTCCCCATACTAATCACCCACTTCGGGTCCGGCATCTGGTCGTATAGCTGCCTCAACGCCGGTGCCATCTTGTTAGTTACTGTTCCCGCAACAATCATGACATCGGCTTGGCGAGGCGAGGCCCGGAAGATGATCCCCAGGCGGTCTTGGTCATATCGTGGCATGGAGACATGCATCATTTCGATGCCGCAGCATGCGAGGGCGAAGGTGAGGGGCCAGAGGGAGCCTTGGCGGGCCCAGTTGATGAGCTGGTCGGTTGTTGTTCTGGGTACGTGGTTAGCTGGTGTTGATGGAATAGGTTAAGATAGACGGGCATCGTACAGGACATATTCGAATTTTCCGTTATCTTCTTTCTTGTTCGTGCTGATGCTCTGCTCTTGACTCAGGAGCTTGGGGACGGTGTGTGGATTCCAGGTTGAGGATTGCCGGGTTTGTTTGGTCTTGAGTGATGATGGTGTGAATTTTCTATAGGTTAAAGGAATATATGTAGAAGCCTGTTTCCATGTTTGGAGTCTCTGTATTTGAGTCCTCATCGTTGAGGTTGTTGTCGCCCACATGGTAAACCTCTGTTGTTGGCGAAGTAAGAATGATATGTTTAGAGGGAAATAAAAAAAAATGAAAGGAGGTAAAAGAAACTAATGTATTCTGCAGCTACATGAATATCTGCATATATTATAAAAACATGTTTATATCGCCGACATGACGCTGAACAGCATATCGGCGATATGCTGTATAAGTTCTAGCTCAAATCGGCGATATGCTTTTCGTATAGGGTTTTCGATGGGTCAGCCGCACGGCGTCAGTCTATGAGTATGGAAAATTTGTCTTTCGGCAGAAGCTGTTCAATTAGCATTGATTGCCCAATTGACCTTGGACTTTCACTAGAATTCCGAAAATGTATGTCGTCGAGGTCACTCAGCCGTGTATAGAAATGGGCGAAGGTACAAACAACCGAACTCACAATTTACTCTACACGCCTTCCACTTTTTACTGGTATGTTTGAAGTACTTGTGTCCCATTCTCACTTCACAATGTCGCTATACACTGATCATTGACTCCATGCAGCCTATAGAAGGTATGGCCAATAATCTACTATCCCACGTCAGGTGCGGGGAGACAACCGTCGATCGCGGGGACAACAATGGCACCTTCACAGTCACAACCCCCAATCCACGACCTACATAGCGTCAAAAAAAGACCAACAGGATGGCAGCATACCCTCGTCCAGACTTCCAACGCCCGGCACTCAATTGGACGTCGCTTGACGGTCCCTGGGACTTCATCTTCGACGATGCAGACAACGGTCTATCACAGCGTTGGCACCAGAAGGGGATCCCCACCAACACCGCCACCTGCGCCAAACGCCAAATCCAAGTTCCGTATGCATTCCAAACTCCCGCATCAGGGATTGGCCTTCACGAGGCTCACGAGGTGTTGTGGTACGAGCGCAATCTGAAAGATATTCGTACGGCGGACGAACTGGCCAAGGGAAATCGATTAGTGCTTCGCTTTGGTGCAGTGGACTATGATTGCAGTGTCTGGGTTGATGGTCAGATGGTCGGAGGTCATCGGGGCGGTCATGTGCCCTTTGAGATTGATGTGACTGATGCCTTCGAGGCCCAAGAGAGTGCTGCAGCGGCTAGACGCCTAACGGTTCGGGTGAGAGACTCGCCGTCTGACCTTTGCCAGCCGCGTGGGAAACAGTATTGGGGCCCTGTCCCTGAAAGTATATTTTACACACCGACGAGTGGAATCTGGTTGTCTGTTTGGTTGGAGAGTGTGCCCAGGATGCGGTTAGGCAGTAGCAGTGACGGCCTGGTCCTCCGGTCGGATGATATCAACCCGGGACAGCTTTATGCACAGGTCGTAGTGCTAGGTCGCCCGGCAGCTGCGAAGTGCCAGGTAGAGATTGAGGCGAGTCTAGGCGGTGTCGTTGTGAGCCGTAGCAGACAAGATCTGCCGCAAGACAAAGACTGCGTGAGTCTCGATGTGGACATGCGTGCGCCGGACACTGGCTTGTTGAAGGAGAAGGTTCCCTTCAACGTTGACGAGTGCTGGCACAACGGAGTAGCGCTCTGGGCGCCCGAGCATCCTAACCTGTATGACTTGGTTTTGCGTCTGTATGATGCATCGGGCAATCTGGTTGATGTGGTTGAGACTACCACCGGTATGCGCAGTATAACCTGGAAGAATGGGGACGGGACCTTCCGGCTCAATGGGAAGCCTCGTTTCCAAACCCTGGTACTAGATCAAGGGTATTGGCCGGAGACTGGCTTGACGCCCCCTTCGCAGGAGACACTGAAGGCTGACATTGAGATGGCGAAGGCAATGGGCATCAATGGGTGCCGAAAGCACCAAAAGGTGGAAGATCCCGTCTTTCTTTATTGGGCTGACAGACTGGGATTTCTGGTCTGGGGTGAGATAGCGAATGCCTATGACTTCAGCGACGATTATATCTCTCGGTTCAACAGCGAGTGGGTAGAAGCTGTCAGGAGGGACATTAACCATCCATCGATCGTGGCTTGGACTCCTTTTAACGAGAGCTGGGGATATCCTTCCCTGAAGGATAATATCGAGCAGCGGAACCATATCCGTGCAGTGTACTACTTGACGAAGTGAGTTCTTTGACTATCTTCCTAACAATACATCCTCTTGTTATATACTGACCAGTATGATAGGACCTTGGATCCCACTCGACCTATCAATGACAACTGTGGCTGGGAGCACGTTTCGACAGACTTGACAACCTACCACGACTACTCCGATCACCCTGCGCTGACCGCAACCTGTTCCGACTTTGATAATGGCATTCTAGGCCAGAAATCGGATCGTGACATGTTTGTGCGCCCCATTCCTTCCGCTGGCTCTCAGCTCGGGGACCCTGGCACTCAACATACGCCAGGCGCTCCGGTGATTTGCTCTGAATTCGGAGGGGTAAATATTATTCCTGCAAAGGGTACCCCCGCTGGTGAAAGGGACTGGGGCTATACTACTGCAAGCAATCCGGAAGACCTGCTGAGCCGTCTTGAAAAGCTGGTGATGGCCGTCGTCAAAGGAGGACATACATGTGGCTTGGTATATACGCAGTTGTACGTTTCTACCTTTTTCACTTTCCTCAGTCCGCATAGACGAGGATTGTATATTTGTTTCTCTGTTCCCCAACAGAGGATATGCGTTATGATGAGTATGATAACTAATTAGATACAGGTGCGATATCGAGCAAGAAGTCAACGGTTTGTACTCGTACGATCGCAAAGAGAAAGTGCCAGCAGCCAGAGTGAAGGCAATCATGGATGCTGCCCATCAATACTACTATGAGCATGTAGCACCGAAGTAGATACTGAGTATTAGGCGACGGGAAGAGACGAGCTTTAGTTTGACCTTCTTCTAGATATTAGCAGCAGTATGAGCAAATGTAGATACTGGTCTATCAACAGTAACAATATATTTGTGACGATGTGAGAATCTACGTCTTAGTTCTCAGGCCAAGAGTGAATGGATATCATGTACGGCTTCTAGACCGAATTGCCATTCAATCCATAACACACTCCTTTACATAGCCCGCTGGTTTACCAGTTACATTAAACTTTAATCTTGTTATAAACGGGACTTGTATAATAGTTTCCGGTCTATTTCATATTTGCCATGGTAACTTATATGTGCTATTATGGCCTGGGTAATATGATCAATTTTTAATACTATAACATATAGATCTGGGACATACCACCCCCATGACATTGGTATGGCAGTGGCCTCTTGCACAGAGAGGTGGAATGTAATACGTACGCTCTGGTAGAAGCGGCGAACGGTGGTCGATCCCCCGATGTAGGGCCCTGGTGGGTAAAGCAGCTTCTCCCGGGTTTAGGCCGGAGGCATCCTGTACTTAGTGTGCCCTTAAGGCTTAGAACAAAATCAAAAACAACCTTCGCCTATAATGGAATACGTACGGGCCAACAATGCCCAGCAAGTGATGGTGGGGGACTCGCTGTGTCATGGGATCTGTATTTCTAAACATGTTTCGAATTGCATTCTCATGGCGATGCAAAAGTATCATTTGACACGTTACTCTGACTGAGACAGGCTCAAAAGAAATAGAACCATGACTCTTATTTAGACTCTTTCTCCATAGTTGCATGCATTATTTCTATATAGCGGGTCATTATGAAGGGCAACTGCGAAGTTTTGGTAGGGGCACGCCATTGTATATATTTAAGGGCAATGATTTGCGTATAGTGTCTTGCTTGATGTGTGCATCTCCCTAAGCTGGACGGTATATTTGAAGATTGTTAAGTGAATTATCATATTATCACGCCATATGTCCACGTAACACGCTTTGAGGACTGGCCGAAGGGAAGACAGTTCCTAGTTTCCCAATCTCCTTGCTCGGACAAGCGGCATATAATAATAGCCCTCTGCAGGTGACGGGTGAATAGATTTAGCTTAACATATTAGAGCACCTATGGTTCATTACAGTTAACTATGGATTTTTAAGCTGACTTGTAGTGAGATCTATAACCCCATTCAAATGGAATAGAAAAGAAAGTCTTGACTATTATCCTTACCTTCCTATTTGCTACTTGTATTTAAGAATAGCATGTTACTGTTGACAACCCTGGTATGGTTGCTTTCCTCATATGGTAGGGTAACTCTGTATATCATCAGCATTGCGACTTGCGTCATATAACGCGTC